CGGTTTTATTACGATTTTGGACTATGGCTCTCGTATTATTACATCAAAAAATAATTTTATAAAAAAATTTTACAATTTTATGTTTTTGAAGATTGTTAATGATGCGATCGTCCATTTCATGTTGAATCGTGAAAGAAAAGAGACCTTAATTAGTGCAAAATGGACATTGGCCAATTGTCAAATGAATTGAATACACCTATTACAATAATTAAGGTGCCTTAATTTAGTATTGAAATGTAAAAACTACGCAGTTTATGCCTATGGTCGACAATCCTTGCTTACAATATTTGCAGTTTACACTTAATTTGTTGAATTAGCCTTTAGGTATAATTTTTTACCTTTCTTTTCACTTTTTTAGAGGATACTTAAGACAGCTAAGAATATTAAATAAACAGTAGGTTTTTTGATCTTTAAAAATCTTTACTTTTACTAGCAGAGTAGATGACGGATAGCCAGTTATCAAAGCGTTCATGCAGTACATGGGAAATTGTGAAGGCAGATGTTTATGTACAGGAATATAATGTCAAGGAAAATTTTGCTTAATTTCCTGTGACTAACAGCGTAGGTGCGTAGGTGGATTATCATTCTGGAATATATATTGCCCATTCGGTGAGGAATATTCTGACAATGAATGATACCTTATATTCAAGAGATTTCTTATAGATACAGGTATTTAGTACAGTAATTTATGATATCAGCGGAGCTGGGTGTCATTATAAATCAACTTTTCGGGAATTGATAAATTGGTTACATACCATATGAATTTATTTATGTTTTGAGGATTGATTATATAGGCAGGACTTGTATTAATCAATCTTTAAGTTAACTTTGGGTTACAAAAATACGCTCTAAGTATAAGATGAGTGAATTTAATAGTATCGATGTGACTGCTTTAATTATCTTAGGTAAATACTAAAAACTGTCAAATGTGTATTTCTTTTTTGAGTCGAAAAAGAGGATAAAGGTCAAAGTTATGGTCATGAATATTCTCACACCCTACTATTTTAGATTGATTGATAAATGAAATTGGAAATGATTGTTCTTTAGTTTACGGAAGCGGGGTCACCATTTCCATACGGATATTCTGATAAATAATTGTCTTATTTAAATTAAAAGTCGAAAGATTGCGAATAGTATATACAAGATGAAAATAATGTATTTGAAAATAATTCAATGATCGAAGTAGAGACAATAAAAATCTATTAGTAAATTTTTGTCTTGATTGCCAAGATTGTCAAAAGTAGTAGAGATCAATTGAGTCAAGAAAGCACCTCCGTTGCTGATTCAAAACTGCATGGCCCTTTCAATTCTGTTAAGGTTAATGTCTGAAGGTTATCCAGTGTCGAAAAGTTTACCAAAGTTATTCCAACCACAATGAGACTTATTCTTACCACTAAGGACATGTTACCTTGTAATAATCTATCCATTATTACCGCCGCCTAGAATTAGTCTAGCTACTGGGAGTAATCTAACTACAATGAAAGTTACACCAACCACTAACATTACTTTATTGTTTGATAGTCGATCAAGTACTATAGTGATTTGAAATTAGTTTAGCTGCAAATGGTATACAATTTTCTAGTGTATTTATGGCTTATTCAAGAAATTGTATTTATCATTCAGATATTGCAGTGATCTATACCGGTAACTTAGTTTAGCTACTAATTGTATATTATTTTTAATTGCATTCATGGCTTATTCAAGGTTTAGATTAATCTAGTTAGCTTACTACTTTATATACCATAAGTTAGAAATGAAAATAATGGTATTCTGTCGATTCCATATCGTGCTATTGATGCATTTGTAGGAGTAGTGTTATTTGTAAAATACTGCAGTATTATTTATGTTGAACTATGTTCGAGACCAGACTTGAAGCAGGCATAAAATTAAAATTCTTATTGACCGTTGCACGTCTTTTTACTTAAGAAAAAATTGTGAATTGCGGATATACTCATAGAATTGAAAAATTGCTCTGACGATTGGATATCTTTAGTATTGGTTTTATGATACTAAATATATTAATTTCTCATCACTATTGTTACAGGATGTAAATATATAACAATATTGGAGGGTTAGAACATACGATTAGAAGAGATGCTATGAGAAATGCTAATATTGACAAATTGCCAACTTCTGCAACGAAGGACGATTAAGCGAAGGGAATATTACAGATCCCCTTGCACTGTATAGCATGAGAGTAAAGTTATTATGTAAACATTACTACCTTTTGAGCTGTTTAAAGAGACAGTATTTATATTTTACTCGATTCATCTACTTTGCGAGAATATGAAAGCGTTAAAATTATCCATCTATGGTATACTACATATCAATATATACAGAGCGTTACCTACGAGTACTATAATAAATAACTGAATCAATAGTTTAAGCCATTTATAGGCAGTATGTGATATTCGCCAGCGACCAATTCGACCTTTTACTCGATCTACCAATATCGCGAAAAAGCCGAAATTATCAAAAGTACTTATCTATCCATGATCTGCTGCATGTAAGCATCGTATACAAAGTGCTACTAAGTACTTTAATAAACGACTGAAGTAATAGTCTTTTAAGCCGCGAAATATTTTAAGTTAAAAGGTAGTATATACAGTATATAGTACCCACTAACGATCATGAAAAGCCGAAATACCATATCTATCCATGGTATGCCACATGATGGCGTATGCAGAGTGCTGCCAATACTATATTAAACTACTGAATGTTATCAATAGTCTTAAATCGCGTAGAATATTACTATCCATCCACGATATCTTGCATGTCGGCATTTGTGGGGTATAGCTTGGTACAATAATAAATAAGTGAATCATGAGCTTTAATCCGTATAAAACGAAATCGACCCGTAATTCGTCCAACTTAACGAAAAATAGAAAACATCAAAATCATCCACGATATACTGCATCATAGCGGCACATCGGCGGGTGGAGAATAGCATATTATAGTGCTTTAAATAATAAAGTATTTCTCACAGCACCATTAAATCTGATATTACGACGATATCAGTTTATTTAGGGTGTGTAAAAACTATTGAAGGGCCTCAACTGTTTAATCGCTTAAAATATTATTATCAATCCACGATATGCTGCATGTCGGCGTTTGTGGAGTATAGCTTGGTACAATAATAAATAAATGAATCATGAGCTTTAACCCGTATAAAACGAAATCGACCCCTAATTCGTATTACTTTACGAAAAATGGAAAACATTAAAATCATCCACGATATACTGCATCATAGCGGCATATCGGCGGGTGGAGAATAGCAAATTATAGTGCTTTAAATAATAAAGTATTTCTCACATCACCAGTAAATCTGATATTACGACGATATCAGTTTATTTAGGGTGTGTAAAAATCTATTGAAGGGCCTCAACTGAAGTATAATTAACTCGATGTCATTCGATCTGGATATCTTTGATATCCATTGAGTTGAATGTTTTCAAGGCTTAAAGTTGGCAGTTATATATGCCTAGTATGAATATGCCATATAGATTAAATTATAAGAAAATATTTTCTTCTAGCATTGATGCTAAGTGATCTAACTATTCACTTACAGTACATTGATTCATTGAAGCTGCAGTCGTAACATTACAATAGATCTATATTATACACTTCTTGGTACAAGATTCATTTTTAAGATTAGACTATGGCCAGATAACGTATAAAAATATACGTGGATTTACATTGCTCTCGGCTCTTGTCTTTTATCTCTCTGACACGAGACTAACCTATCTCTGTGTTGTCTCCTAGCTCTATCTTAGTATCATCACCTGCTAAGGTGCGTTGGTGATTCTACAATACTGTAGTGCACAGCACAGTAATCTACTTTACGATTATCCTCATCAATTATCCCATTCGATTTGAACTAATTAACATTGCATAAGTGTAGACTGTACAGTACTGTACTGTAGTCTCACTAGAAGTAGTACACAGGATGTCCGAGAAATTTTAGCCAAAAAATTGCAAATAACAAAAAATCAAGAACTCTGTTTATCCTGCACAAATTATAACATCAATCGGTAGAGAAAGAGCTCAAGTTCAGCCATTCAAAATTGCGTTCGACATCTTCATAATGATTAATTATTACAGTAGTTAAAGTACAGTACATACACAAGACTGCTACAGTACCAAGTAAAAATATGGGTTTAATATGCAATATATTACAGTACATGTACTGTAATGTGTGGTTGACATACTGTACCATAGCATACGAGACTGTGTGGGAAATACCCACTGCGCATCACCGTGATCCATAGAGTTACCTGTAGTACAGTATAACTGTATGCCTTTATATCAGCTGGTATTCCCTATTTCAAGGTTTAAATGGCGGACTAAAGGAACTACGCAGTTGATTGCTGCAGTGAAATGAGTCTATTTTATTAACTTAGCATTAGTTAAAATCTTTCATTTTGGTGGACAGCGTATTATTAAAAGGTACAAGATTGGAGGATTCCTCTTTGTTGCATGATTATATTGAAGATGTTATACTATTAGACATTTTATTAACAGTAAATAACATTTTAGTCCGATAGACACTGTTCTTGTGTAGGATTTCAACGTAGACAAACTAGTAAATTAATAGCTAACATGTTGCAAGATAAATGCAGTAAAGTAATAATAATCACTTTAATTTTAGCGTGTCCCTTTCTAATAAAGTGTAAGCGTTGACAGTGAATCTTACATCTTATTTATCGTTTAGATGATTGATAAGTGAGTTCGTTAAAATAGATCCAGCCACATCTATTTTTGACTAACAATAAATTGACTACAGTACGAGTACGTTTATGCTACTGCAAATGGTGGAATGATGACTTTGTCTATTGCTGCTAGATAAATGAATATTTACGGAAAATAATTTACAACACAAATTTTGCTACCATATTGCCAACATAGGACTGGTCATGAATGAATGAATAACAATCATATTTTAACTATCTGCCTGCGCTCTTTTTATTCATTTTATAAATTGACAGCGGAGCACGGTCAAAATGTCTTCAATCCTTGCTAATCTTATGTTCGGTAATATCGATGAAGATGGGGAATTAGAAGATGATTCGTTATTAGATAAGGTGACTTGACATTTCTTAAAATATGGATACGTGTATTAAAGTATAGGTCTTGCGGTACATAGATCGAATTGTCAAATGTTGTAGATCCATCCATCATTTGTTGTTAACATTCTGCCTAATATTGTTATGCTGAGGTTAAACTCAAATGATCACAATCGCTCCGTCTACTGAGCTTAAACAAGATTTACTTTTATACTATTTTAGGAAAGTAAGCGACAATTATCGCAAATTACATGTGAGTTTGGTTTAGACACTATTGTCGACGACTTTAACGATGATGAAGTGCAAGATGAAGGTAATATTATCTTCTAATCAACTCCTATTGGAATTGTACCGAAGTTCGTCCTATTCAATTGATACAGCCATTTGTAGACTTCTTATATTTTACAATAGCTTTGTATACACTTGCTCTAGCATGGACCTTTAGATCTTCGGTCCATGACTATAGTACTGTATAACTATTGCACAGCAGTATTCACATTTACTACGTAGTTTAGTAAGTTACTTCAGGTCCTTTATGTCGTACTTGATGGTGATGTGACGAAATAATAAAAATGGTCCAAAGTCTAAAAATTTTACTTTACTGAGAGTATTATCTTCTTGATTTTGGCAGATTATCGTACATCTGGGAATGTTCCTACAAGCCGATCTGCTGTCGATTTCATCGATATTCAGGAACTAGCCGAAGATAACAATGATCATGGGAATTGCGAATCTACGCTATCGGCTTTAATTGCTGGCAAATCTTCACCGAACAACGGTATCGTAATTTTTTTAGCTAAACAATTAGCTGATCACTAGTTACTTGTTACAATTATCGATCTATTTTTAATTTACCTGCTAAGTCGAAGATGTCAGTGCCTGCTTCGCATATATTACTACTGCATGAAAATGTTCACGACGTTTATTTCTGTCTTTCATAGATTATGACGAAAATGACGATTATGATATGGATGACTGCACTCCTAGTTTAGGTGGTCTATAAATTTCGCCACTTTATGCATAAATGAGTCAATTTTCTTGCGTAGATAGTTCGCTATCGTATCTATTTAATGATAGATGAATAGTAGTTGATCGGTTTGGTGATTATCAAATAATGCTGGTTTCTTTTATTATAAAACTACTATTAATGTCGTGTTATGAACAATTATTCTATTTTTCGACAGGAAATAATGAAAACAAGAACTTGCTTAATACTATGGGATCAAATTCGTTATTTTCTAATGATGGGTCATTCGCTACCTCACCCACCGATTCAGAATATACCAAAGATGGTATAAAAGTTGCAGATGATCATCAAGCTTTGGAATCAGAAGATTCTGAATCACAAGACGATGTTGATTGGAATCAGATAATAGAAACTTATGATCAATCGGAACTGTCAAATAATAAAGAGCTACTTTTAAAGAATTTAGCTAAGTGTAAAGCTGGTTTTCCTGCTGTAATGTTTGGCATGTCAAATGATAAAGATGGTATTGTTAGAACTCGAACTGGCTCAACTGTGATTGATTTATTTCCTGAATTTAAACCTGGTGAAGTGCTGAGATTCACACGTTTATTTGGACCTGCAAGAGCTGCTTCTATGCCTCAAGTTTGGCGTAACGCTAGGCGTACAAGAAAACGGCGTCGCCAAGAAGTCATAAATGAAGGTTTCGGTCACCGGTCACATTGTAGTAGATCTTTACCGCATGCTCCATCTAATCGTGTTGCTGAAGATGACGAGGTAGAATCGAACTTAACGTATTATTTATTGACTATGAAATGAGCTTAATTTACTAAATAGATGATGGTTGCATATCTTTATATAGGTACTTTTTCTCTCTTCGTTAAAGCGAAAATTTAATGCTTCTAGTATTATCCATAATACTGAGGTAGATAATGTAGATGAAAGAAATAAGAAATCCAAAAAGAGACCAAAATGGCGCTTTGGTCCAGCTAGGTATTGGTACGATCAAAAAGGTTTACCTGAGGATGGTAGCATTCCTGAATATAAATCTAATCGAAAAGAGGTTCCTTGTTTTGTTTAATTTACTCCTACGAGTGTATTGCCATTATTATCAGATACAATAGCAATATTATTAATCATGATATCTACTTTTTATGAATTGTAACCGCTTAGGCGTATAACCCCGAAAAGAGAAGCCATGGTCGTAAATTGGATATTAGTGCTTATACTATGCTAGCTCAACAGGAATGGGAGAATAATATAATTTGGTCGGCCGATGATGTAAGACAAAAGCGAAATAGTGCAGATGCAGAAAGAGTTGAAGCTGAAGCTGGCTGGATTCCATCTACACGATGTAGAACTTTCTTAAATCATTTGGGCGGTAATCCAGAAATATTACATATTCTCATGTGTTAAACATTGATTGATGGAAGATCAATCTTACACTACCTCGATATCTTTATATTTTTGTCAGATAAGCGTATGAAAACTTCGGAATCCATGTTTCCCATACAAAATAGAGAATTAGTGTACACACGATGGGAAGACAATATTATTTGGGATACCCCGGTAGGTGAAATTTTAATCCAGTACGGTTGTAATTAATATCTTGGAGTATACATGGTGATTGTAGACATTATAATTTTTAGACTTATCCATCAATTTCGACAAATCCTGAATTACGCCTTGATCCAAATGATGAAAACATCTTGTGCATTCCATACGTACCTGACAAAGGCCCAGTTTCTAAAGCGACACAAGACAAAGAAACCAAGAAGGTGACCGCTACTACCATATGAAATTTGTTCAATTACAACTACAATATTACTCATCTTATCTCATCTTAGGAAAAGGGTAAAGGTAAAACGGCATTAAGCAAGTCAGGGGCATCTAAAATAGATAATATGGAGTTACCAGAAGAAATGAAAGTAAAAGACATCGATAAAGATTCTTACAACTTTTCGAATGATGCTTATTATAGTACTAAGACCAGTAAGTTCATGGAATACATCATCTAGCCTGTATCATGGATCTCTAAACTAGAAGTTTTGGAGGTCCATGCCTGTATACACGCATATGATATCACGCAGTTAATGAATATAACGTTCCTATATTTTTGTTTCTTAGATACAACTGGTGGTGGAGTTAGTAACACCTTAGGCGTTCGTGCCGTTTTGGTAGGTTTGGAGTATTCATTTACTGCTAAGGTTTTGATGACATATCTGTTTAACTTTTATGCTTGCTTAATTTCAGCATTCTACGCCTTCAGTACAACTAAACCCAAAGTTATTTCCTACACACTGGACTCCGTACAGCTTACGCAACTTTCATAGACCTATATTTTGTCGCCCGAACTATGGAAAACATCATAAGGCGCCGTTTATGATACGTAGTGTTACCAAACGTATCAGAAAGAAAGCAAAGGTAAGAGGGAAAGTTCTTCAGTTACATAGACGACTCTTACTAAAAATTTTACTCATTTTGTCATACTACTTTTGATTTGAGCATTTATTTATAAGTAATGCAGTATTATCAGGCACAAGCTATCCAAAAATACCGATCATTATCACTTCTACCATTACAGGAACGCGAAAGAGCCAGAGCGGCTTCTGGAGGAGGAGAAATATTTTTTATGGTTAATCTTGAAGATCTTAGTGCCACTGATGGCGAAGTAATGTTATTAGAATATTCAGAAGAACACCCACCTCTAATTCAAGCCGTTGGCATGGCATCTCGTGTTAAGAACTATTACCGAAAGGTCAGCGTTTGTTGTTATCTCAATTTTAGGTGTAGTATCTTACTTGTTGCCATATAACCAGAGATAATTTCTCTAAATGCGGAAATGAGTAAATTCGTGCAAATTTAAATTTTATCACAATACTATCGTGTATTTTCGCAGAAAGCTAGTAAAGATACTGGACCCCAGTCTCCCGAAATTGGTGAAATGGTTATGGTCAACAATAATTCACCTTTTCTGGGAAGTTTATCTCACGGCCAGTTATTACAGGTTCGCTCTTTTATTAAACAAATGAGCTGTAGCGATTTTCGTTGTGTTTACGGTGATCTCAAGGGTTTATTTTTTTCATGTTCTTTTAGGCTTTTGAGAATAATCTTTATAGAACGCCAATCTACAAACATAAAATGCCTGACGATCTATTCCTAGTTATAAAGAACCATAACGGGTATCATATTCGGGAAGCAAAGTGGTTGCATACCGGAGGTCAACTTTGTCCCAAATTTGAAGTCCCTAGTCCAAATTCTAAGAAAGCCAGCAATTTTGTTCGAGATTTTTTACAGGTCTTATATAACGAAAATAAAGGTTACCTATTTTACTTTTAATTACTAATGAAACGGACATTTCTCTGTATAGGTGTACATTTACAGATTGTTTGCTAAAAGTACGGATAATCCTAAGAGAATTAAGATGGATGCCATAAAAAAATCGTTTACATCACATTCTGAAAGTAGCATTCGTAAGAGATTAAAACTATGTGCAGATTTTAAGCGAACAGGTAATGATTTCGTGCACTTCTTATGTTTTAATTGCTAATTATTAACTAGCAATTTGACCAAAATTGCAGGCGATCATAGCAACTATTGGATTTTGAAGCCGGATTTTCGTCTACCTTCGGAGGAAGAATTAAGGGACATGGTAACACCAGAACAAGCTTGCGCTTATGCTTGCATGTTGGCCGCAGAACAAAAATTGAAGGATGCTGGTTATGTTGGCAAGACGGTTGTTGAAGATGAAGATAATGAAGATTCTCAAAAAATTGAAGATGAGGTTAGTATATTTTTATTTCAAACTAATTTTTTGGTCTATTAAAGTTATGACCATTTCATGCCGCTGATATGATAGATAATGGCTATTAATATTCTGGTTTAAGGTTAAAACGGCCCCATGGAATACCACTCGCGCTTTCTTACAAGCCTTGCAAGGAAAGTGTCAGCTTTCACTTACTGGAGATGCAGATCCAACTGGCTGCGGTGAAGGGTTTGCTTATGTCCGCGTTCCTAATAAACCTGTTGTTCCTAAGGTATATCTTGACATTGTAAGTCTGATGCTTTTACTTGAGCTAAGTCTTGGAAAAAAACTGTAATGCTTAGGATGAAAGTAACGTAATTAATAAACAAAGAACGGTGACTGGTACAGATGCAGATTTAAGGAAGTTGTCGTTAAAAAATGCAAGGCAAGTGCTCCGAGATTTTGGTATTTCAGACGAAGAGATTAAAAAACTAAGTAGATGGGAAGTTATTGATGTAGTAAGGACAATGTCAACGGCGGCCGTTAAATCAGGAGAAGATGGTAATTAATTCTTTTATACTGTATAAAATTTTAGTATTTTTGCTGATCCAAGTTATTATCCTACAGGTCTTAGTAAATTTGCTCGCGGCTCACGTTTTTCGCTTGCTGAACATCAGGAGCGTTACCGCGAAGAATGCCAGCGTATATTTGAAATACAAAATAAAGTACTTGCATCCGAAGAAGTTTTGTCAACTGATGAAGAAAGCGTTAGTGAAGGTGATGATGAATTTGATGAACTCGGGAAAAATCTTGAAAGTATGTTAATGAATAAGAAATCTGCAGCTGAGGTAGGATTTCGTAATGGATAGATGTATGTTAGTGGATGAAATATTAGGCTGTTACGAGTCAAAAATCTTATACAGATGCAGCAGTATTCGAGTTTATCAATACATTTAGCTTTGTACTAATTTTATTTAGTATTCGAATGAACGAGAAGAGGCTGAGAGATTAGAACTAAAAAAGATGCTTAGTGAAGATGACGTACGCATACACAAATCTGGCAGCAAAAGTCAGGTATCTGTTTATACTAAAATCTATTCTTGAAATTAACTTCTGCTGATGTATGTTTACAGTATAGTGAAATGATTTTTACTAATCCTATTGTTTATTCATTATCGCATTTCATTGGATCTGTATTTAGTTATCCAAGATTTCTGGTTTGTAGCATATCCGAACTTTGCCATAGTATTCGTCATAATTATAGAAATTTCTTTAAGAATTTTTTCTTATTGATATTAGATAAAGATGAAGATGATAAAGCATCTGTTATCAGCGAAACGTCGTCAATGAGAAGCGAGCAAACTCAAGACAGGGTAGAAGAATCTTTATAATAAACGCTGCAGTAGCGTGGTGTTGCATTTTGTTAGCTAATATGACGCATGGCGTAATTATAAAGCATTTGCGCTAATACATAATATCACCATTGCTATTGTTAGGTGCCAGGAAGTCGATTAATTATCCATCGAACCTTTTCTCAAGATGGCAGAGAGTTCGTTAGAAATGAAGTAGTAACTGATCCGGAAGTCATAGATGCTTATATCCGCATCGCAACAAACAAGAAAGGCAATATTAGGTATAAATTGAATTGTATGATAAGTCGCTTTCAGGATCATTACAATATTTGAGTGTTGCTTACTGACATATTGTTATCATAGGTCGGAGTTTGCTACTTTTGATCGTGAACATCGAGAAGATATAAGAAAAGAAAAGAAACGGTATTGTTAAACTTCGATTGAACTAGATTAGATTTTGTAGCTAATACCTATGTCTATATCTACAGTATTAGTTTTAACTCTGATTAAATTTACATTCGTGCAGAATACAAGAGAAGCTTCGACGACTAGAAAGGGCTGAAAAGAAAGCAAAGGAAATTCAAAACAAAAAGGAAGAAAAATTGCAACCAGTAACTATTACTGCACAGCCGCCGCAAATAGAGAATGATACTGCACCTGAGTTATCCACTCTCAAGAAAGATCAGAGTAAACAAAATGTACAGTCAGAGTCACAAACTAAAAAGAAGAAGGAAAAACCTCCAGTAGCAGTTAATGTATAATAACTACTTTCTGTTGTGATTAACGGTTGATTTATTTTTTATAATGAAATTTTGATAAAGCTCTGTTAACTGCGGCAATTTTTCTATCGTTTGCAGTTACGCTGCGGTGCCTGTGGTGAGAAGGGTCATATGAAAACCAACAAAAACTGCCCCAAGTACAATGAGACAATGGGACCGTCTGAGCACGTAATAGCTATGACCGAAGAACAGATCAAAGAAGAAGAAGATAAGATAGCTGAGGAAAATTTTGTTAAAGTCGAGGGAACGAAACTTCTGATAGGGAAAGCCTTACTGCATCAGTAAGTAATACGACATTTCTTCAAATCACTGCAGAACTCGCATTAAGACATGTTTATGTCTCTACAGTCATGATGAAGTTCGTCGGCGATCGCTAGTATTACGCTTTCCTAAAGGTATGCTGCTTATCGCCTATGGTGTTATACTGCATTATCGAACCATGTTCTGTACTAACTTCTGTTTATCTCGCAGCTTACTTTAAGCGTCGCCGTGTAAGTAGAAGTTCGAGCAACGCGAATTTAGATTATTTGAAGGTAAGTTCTTTTTATTACATGAATTTTGAAATAGGAACATAGAATGCATTGTTAAGTGGTACAGTTTGTATCATAAGTTTCTTTAATTTACTACTAGGGACCGACAAAATCTAAAAACCGTCGCAGAACTGCACCTGAAGTAATATTAACACCATGGTGTTTTAATACTTAATTTATTTAAATTGGAGTCTCTAGATTTTCTAAATTGTGTTACAACAATTTGTGTAAACTTTACAGGTTACGTTAGCCAATATCTTCGAAGAAATTGTAATTAAAATGCGGAATGTAAAAAATGTAAGTTCTTGATATAGCGTCTTCGCTAAACTATATAATTACAGATGTACAATTGAGAGTTAGGTAACTTATTTAAACTGTTATAGAGCCATGTATTTCATTTTCCTGTGGCTTCAAAGGAATTGCCAGATTATCATAGAATAGTAAAACGCCCTATGGATCTACAAACGATAAAGATGGTTAGGAAAATTATACAGACGCAATGCATTGACTTTTAATGTTTCTGACAGTTTCTTGTAAATTGCGTAGAATATACGAGAAAGAAATTACAATTCCAGAGAAGAATTTTTAGAGCATTGCAGCCTTTTAGTTACCAATAGTGTACATTATAACGGTATTGTTAGGCTTTGCATTTCTATTCTTAAGATGCTAGAAATGCAAATTCAAATTGACTTGATAGGAATAAAGTAAACTCTTCTCACCTGTGCATGCTACGATATACTTATTGGCGCTAGGAGGTGATAGTCCATTTACCAAGACAGCTCAAGAAATGTTTAGTGTTTGTACTGATGAGCTGGAGAAGGTGAGTGTAATAATCCTTTTGATTATTTTACATCAGATAATAAAAATTGACCAAGCTCGCTACTTTTACAGAAAGACAAAGAGATATCTCAACTTGAAAGGGAGCTTAATCCACTTCTCGACGATGATCCTGAGGTAGTCGACTGTCGAATTCGCGATTTAATCTGTGTAACATCTTGGTATTTATGCATCTATTCGTAAATAGCGTTTTTATCTAACCTTTATCCATACCGTATGCAGGTTGGAATTTCATGGCTTTTTGAACATACGGTGATGCAAATGAAGTCTGTTCCAGATGTAGGTGTAAATTTAGTTATGTGCTTTCGTTGGTCCTTGTAGCAATACAGTAGCATGTACGCGTATATGTAATAACGCGATATTGATTTACTTATCTCGCTATCTTCGTACCCTTAGTCATTCGCATTCCATGGTCCTGTTGATGTTGTGACCGTCCCGGATTATTATACCATAATAAAAGACCCTATCGATCTTGGTGTCATACAACGGGTAAAATAATTTAATGGTATTTAACATATAAAATTGCCAATCTTAGTAACTTCGTTAAAAATTATGTTACTCATTTAGAAAGCCCAGAATCATGAGTACCGCTCACATAGCGACTTTATGAAAGATATAGATTTGTTGTTCGCCAATTGTGTTATATATAACGGTAATTTAATTTTAAAATTACGAAAATCATTTGCAATTAACCTCAAGTTGTTACATAGAATCGTTTTGTCTTGTGTTTCATCGAATAATTATAAACGTTTTAGGGGAAAATGAATACACTAAAATCGCTAGAATGATGGTTGCTACTTGTAATGAAACACTTGATGAGGTTCGCTTAAAAAATATTCTTCTATGTGCTAAAAACACGCATGATATATGTGGTTATATTTTATGATACAGTTTCAGTTTACATTAGTACTATTATTAATTATAGGAATATTTTCCGATTTTTTTAGTTTTCCGCTCAGATACAGCAATTAGAACGAGAACTAGCAGGAGTATCCAGTGAAAATGATAAAATAGACAATCTTCTGGATTCTTCAGACATTGTAATAGGTGAAACAGAAAAGTTTCATCATTCTAGTGGTATAGGCAAGGAAATTATAGAACGAGACGAAGAAGAAATGGATGTAGATTTAAGCGATTTGAAGGATGGTGAAGACAAAGGTATCATATTTGTAGTTGAAGGCCAAGACAGTGAACCAGGTGAGGTGGATATAATGAATATTAAACCAGATCAAGAACCATTCAAAAACGATCAATCTGGTAATGTTATGTTATCACCCGATAATATTCTTGATAATGACTTAAATCTATCATCTTCAGATGATGATTACTCCGATTAAGGCTAACTGTGTAAAGAGAGCTAAGTTTAAGAATTTTTTATTTCTTTGTTACTGTAAAAAAAGTACTGACTGTTCAAATGAGTACCTCGCAATTTGTACAAACGATGTCTTGAACAAGTTGTGATATAGTAAACGTAATTATTCATTAGGTGCTCTCTGTTGATGTGATCGAAATCTACGGTTAAATTTCTTTTAATTAAATCTACCGTTAAATGTGTTTTAATTGCCTTCATTAGTAAGTCCTGTTAATACCCGGTGCTAATTTTGTTCTTTTCGCCGTATCCTTGTGTTAATGAAGGAATGATGTACTACCTAACTTTGGTATTTTTTATTAAGGCTGTTACATCTGTGGCTAAGCTTATAAGGGTTTATTTTTTGATAAATCTTGAGAGTTTCATGATGTTTTATTTCTATAATAATTATTGCTACCAATTCATGCTAATACTAGGTTACTGCAGCAATATGTGGCACCACCGTAGTTCTGTGTGTATGTTGTTAACACCTCAAATTTTAACACCTGCTGAATTGTAACTATAAGTAACGATTATTATAATTCATGTAAAATTTTGATGTGTTAACCGGTGCATGTGAACAAACACTGTAAAACAAAACGCTCACCCTTAGCGATATGTAACATAGCGCAGAATATGTACTCGTATAGCATAACAATGCAAAACACTACGTACAGAGTAGGGACAAATTTCATACTTATTATTAAGCTGGCAATAAAAACTTATTAAAGAATCGAAGTTAACTTTATAGCGCTAGTTATGCTTACTGATACCACTTTGACTGCGAGGGGCTTAAAAAACACGTGATCTATAATTATTACGGTATATCGAGTTTGCGAAGCAACTTAAGTATAAATCATTGAACAACGTATCATAGGTGGAAATTGACTTCGTTGAAGTACAGAAATTTGGTGGAAAACTTTAAATTTTTAATTGAAAAGAAAGTATCAGATACGGACGAGTACCAGTATATACGGACAGTATTAAGGCATTTCGAACAGATCTGTAACAATAAGAGCTTATGTAACTACTTCAAACTATCAAGATTTCTTTTGCAAGTTTTTGATGATTAATAATTGCTTCTTTAGCAGTAATTTATTTGATATAAATAATGCCGCTAGTATGTGCATATAGATATTTGACATTGTCCAATGTAAACCGCCAGCACTTAATCGATAAGATAGCAGCTGTTTTACCTAAATCGATAGTAATGAGAGATATCCAATTGGAATATTGCTATTACATTAGCAGTTATCACTTATTAGAAGGCGATAAAATGGATAAAATGCTCAAAATATTACAATGTCAAGAAGAAACATGGAAGCATTCATATTTCGAACTGATTGATCACTTTGGTACCTGTCCTAGAAATAGACAGTTATCTCAACGTACCGTAATTGAGGTTGGACCTCGATTAAATTTCGAAACAGCCTGGTCCACTAATGCTATATCAATATTTCATGCCGCTGGAATTGATAATGTTAAAAGGATTGAAAGATCAAGGCGCTATTTAATTCTACTGCAATCTTGTGCTGATCCATTGCACGAGATCGATTTTGATCGAATCACTGATATTTTGCATGATCATATGACTGAGTGTCGTTATAGCCACAATCTTGTGCCTAATTTTGTGACAGAATCGAAAATCGAGCCGTTCTGTTCAGTAGATGTGATTGAACGTGGCTCAGCTGCTATTGAGAAAGTTAATAAGGAATTAGGTCTAGCCTTGGATCGATGGGATATTCAGTTTTATACACAACTCTTCGCTAATTATCTTGGACGTAACCCAACCAATGTTGAGCTGTTTGATTTGTCCCAGTCCAATAGTGAACATTCAAGGCATTGGTTCTTCAAGGGCAAATTAATTATTGATGGTATTATAATGCCAAAGCCGCTAATGAAAATGATTCAGGAAACTCAGAATACATCAGGAGATAATAATGTCATTAAGTTTCATGATAATAGTAGGTAAGCTGCCGTTATAAAATATAGATTACGATAATCAATATATAGTTAATATTTATCGGTAATTGTTATTTTACCCACTATGGATTCAGATAAGGGAATAGTTATATTAAAATTAATTTCAGTTTTATTGATTTGGAAGTTAATAATTCAGTGCCAAAATTCATCAAAATCAAGTGATGAAATCCTATTTGTGTCGATATAACGTACTATACATCCTTATGATGGGTTTCTATTTTGTTCAACCATGTCTATACTATTCATAAAGGAAGATTGCATGAAATACAATTAAGTAAAGTAGTCTTCAACTATTAATAAGAAGGGTTGTTGTTTGCATTGTTATGAAATCATCTACTGCGTTGTATTTTATTAATATTTGTTAAATCACGTATAAAGATTTACCTAGGTTTAATCTGTTATGTCATTGATATTGATTAAATTATTACCGGAAAGTTATATCTACATCTATACGTCTGTCTATTTAGCGCAATCCGAGGTTATCAAATTGAAGCACTGATATCAAAGCAGGCTTTTGCTGCAAGTTGCCTCAATAGAAAAATATGCTATCGACATATAACATATACCGCAGAAACTCACAATTTTCCAACAGGAATTGCGCCATTTGAAGGAGCATCAACGGGTACTGGTGGTAGAATTCGAGATGTTCAAGCTACTGGACGAGGAGCTCATGTTATTGCTGCAACAGTTGGTTATTCTTTTGGTAGTCTTCATATTCCAGGTAAATGTATTGGTACTACAATTTTTTTAATGATAGCACTTGCAAAGCTCTTCTCCGTGAAAGTTTATGGGGACCGCCATTAAGCGCAGATTAAAACCAATAGAACTAAAAAATTCCTTTTCTAAGATATGTACTGGAGAATAAACGTTTCGTTTATGACAGGAATTAAGATTAGAGTTAATAAATTATTAATTTTTTTGCATTTCTATTAGGATATTGCCTTCCCTGGGAAGATGAGGCCGATCATTATCCAGATAATTTTGCAACTCCACTAGATATTGTTATTCAAGCAAGTAATGGAGCATCCAATTACGGGAACCAATTTGGTGAACCAGTTATTTGTGGCTTTACTCGTTCATTGGCCATTAAAATACGATATGATACGGGACATGAACATCAGAGACAAGAATATATCAAACCAATTATGTTTAGTGGTGGCATAGGATCTATCGAAGATGGGCACATTAACAAATTTCCTCCTCAATCAGGTCTTTTATGATGAATTTGCTGGATTTTAAATAGTACACTATACTTCTTAACTCAAAACTGTAGAGATATTCTGTGCGCATCACATTTACATAATATAGTTAAATTTTCATTGAATAGGATTGAAAGTTGTCAAAATTGGTGGTCCAGCTTATCGAATTGGCATGGGTGGAGGATCTGCTTCATCTCGAACAGTTAATTAAGTTGACATATTAATCTGTAACTCTATTTACATGCTACAAATTAACATTAGATATGTAGATAATAACAATGTGTTAGAGTAGAAATAGTAATTTCATACATAGTTACACGATATTATTGACTCAAACATAATTTGCAATTTAGAAGTTTTATCAAGTTTAGAAAGTCAGTAATGTAATAAACTGCTATAGTTGCTATAATAATAAATTGCTATAATTCTGATATGAACTGATACATAATAGTAGGAAAATATTTTGGGCTATTACGTCGGCATTATATTATAGAATTCTAATTTAAAATTTTTTAAAGTAGCCACTTACTAACTACGAGGGTAGCAATAACATGTAGTCAAGAAATATGCAATTCAAATTTTTTAAAGGTGCGCAATGATGGCCAAATTGATACCAGCGCAGTACAAAGAGGCGATGCAGAAATGGGCCAGAAATTAAATCGAGTTGTTCGAGGTTGTATTGAATTGGGAGCAACCAATCCGATTTGTAGTATTCACGACCAAGGAGCTGGCGGCAATGGTAAGTAGTTTCTATTGGTGTTACATAGCATAGTTAATAACAAGAAATAATTAAAGATTAAGTATATAGTAAATATTATCCTATAAGATAAATAGTTTAATTCTTATAAGTGTATTCTAGAAGAGTACAAACGCTAATTTCTTACTTCATCTACCTCTATCTCTTGGTATCTAGTGTAATTCTCTTCTAGTAATACGTTAAACTAACATAGCAAATCCTTATCCTTTAACGAACATCACAGGTAACGTTTTGAAAGAAATTGTTAACCCTCAGGGTGCAAAGATCTACTTAAATAAATTTATTAAGGGAGATCAAACCCTATCAGCATTAGAGATATGGTGTGCAGAGTATCAAGAAAGTAATGCTCTACTTACGCAAGAACCAGATGTTATTCAAGCAATTTGTAAGCGAGAAAAACTTCCTATGGCGATAGTAGGACAAGTAACTAGCAATGGTTATATAACATTAGTGGACGATATGCAGCAGCCTGATAGCAATCTAGATCAACAAGTGAATCATCCAGTTCACTTAAAATTAAGTCATATCTTTGATTCTGTCCCTCAAAAGGTAATGAATCTTACAGCTAGTACCCTATTGGCTGAGATTTATACAGTATCATATTTTATAATCCAAGAGTAAGATAGTAACTTGGATAAATGACTTGAAGAGCAATCTATACTAATCAGTAATAAGCTGCGTTCGCAATAATAGCTCCATAAAAATAAATAATTATTTATTTGATCACTATAGTTTTTAGATAGAATATTAAATTACTATGAAATTGAATTTGCAACGATAAAAAAAATGTAAACTAATCCATGGGAATTTGTTGGCCTTGATAGGTCTTTGAATTAAAAACAATCAACGGGAAATTAACTCCTTTGGTATTAAATAAGGAGCTCTTAATAACTAGCGTACTCGAACGTGTTCTCCGATTACCATCCGTTGCAAGCAAAAGATTTCTTACTAACAAGGCGATTGATTATATAGCATTATGAGTAGAATTTATTAGGTGTACATACTTCAGCATATAATTATAATAAGCTTTCTGCTCTATTTGTGTCATAGGTGGATCGAAGTGTTACCGGCTTAGTTGCTCAACAGCAATGTGTTGGACCACTACATACACCTTTAGCTGATGTAGGGGTGGTCGCTTTATCCCATTTCAACACTGTGGGATCGGCAATCGCTCTCGGTGAACAGCCATTCAAAATGTTTATTAACCCAGCCGCAGGAGCTCGTCTAACGGTTGGTGAAGCATTGACCAATATAGTTTTTGCACAGTTATCGTCGCTAAAGGACATCAAATGTAGTGCTAACTGGATGTGGCCAGCTAAGATGCCAGGAGAAGGGGCTCGATTATATCAAGCTTGTCATGCAATGTGTCAAGTTATGAAATTAATCGGGATAGCAATCGATGGTGGTAAAGACTCTTTAAGTATGGCAGCTGATGTAGATGGGTGCGTTGTCAAATCACCTGGAACTTTAGTTATTTCAGCTTACTGTAGCTGCCCTGATATCACGGCTACAGTAACACCCGATTTAAAAGAGTATGATGATAACACGAATAAAATAATTTATCTTCATGTCAGTGAAGGAAAATTTCGCTTAGGTGGTAGTGCGGTAGCACAAGTTTTCCAGCAGATAGGAGATGTAGTTCCAGACTTGGAGAATGTGGATCACTTTAAGAGAACTTTGAATCAATTGCAAGTTTTATTTAAAAACAATCTTTGCTCTTCAGGTCATGATGTAAGCGATGGAGGACTGGCTACTACATTATTAGAAATGGCATTTGCCGGTAACTGTGGCATAAAAGTGGATATCGGATCATTGCTAAACTATAGTAAACAAAGCATTATTGAGATATTATTTGCCGAAGAGTTAGGAATTGTAGTAGAAGTGACTGGAAGTAAAGTTGCTAAAGTCATAGACAATTTAAAATCAAATAATATTCAATATTTTGTCATTGGATCCTCTATAAAAGAAAAAATGATTCAAATATTTAATGATGGAACTTCTATACTGTCAATGGACATGACCAAGTTACGAGATATGTGGGAAGAAACAAGTTTTGAGCTAGATCGATTACAAGCTAATCCACAGTGTGTTCAATCTGAGAGATTGCATTTATTACACAGCTTAAATGCAAATTATTCCTTGTCCTTTAAGCCAATACCTCTTGATGATTCTATTGCTTGGCCATTGACTACTAACTCGCTTCGCGTTGCTGTTGTTCGAGAAGAGGGGAGCAATGGGGATAGAGAAATGGCAGCCGCGTTACATTTAGTTGGGTTTGAAGTATGGGATATCATAACTAGTGACTTGCAAGAAAGTTCCATGTCTTTAGATTGCTTTTGTGGAATTGTATTTGTTGGTGGGTTTAGCTATGCTGATGTTTTAGGTTCAGCGCGAGGATGGTCAGCTGCAATCGGTTGGAACGATAACGTACGTAGAAAGTTGATCAAATTTAGAAATCGATTCGATACGTTTACTTTAGGGGTTTGCAATGGATGTCAGCTGATGGCACACCTTGGCTGGATAGGAAATATTCATACGATGGATGAAATTATGGCTGACGATTATTTTAATATGGGTAGTGCTAGTTGTATAACTTTCACCGAAAATATCTCCAATCGATTTGAATCACGTTTTCCAACCGTTAAAATCTTGGATAGCCCTGCTATTATGCTGCAAGGAATGGCTAACTCACAACTTGGTATTTGGGTTGCCCATGCTGAAGGTTACGCTAAGTTCTCATCAGACCAGATATTAAAGAATATGTTGGAATTGAATCTTGCACCAATTCGTTATGTCGATAGTACTGGTCGACCTACTGAAGAATATCCATTCAATCCGAATGGGTCACCTTGTGGAATAGCAGGTTTATGTTCTCGTGATGGACGCCACTTAGCTATGATGCCTCACCCTGAACGTTGCATACATTTATGGCAATGGCCGTGGGTGCCGCATGACTGGAAGCAATCTATTGATGTATCGCCATGGCTAAAAATGTTTCGGAACGCCTATGAGTGGTCTTATGGTATAAAATTTTGCTGATGATGTTTACTTTTATATTAATTTTACGAATTTAGTTCATGAATAGTGATCAATATCTTTCGCTATTTACGTAGATTATAAAACACTCGTCCATTCTAGTTGTTTAAATGACGTATTTAACTTACGTCAGCCTTAGCTGTGAATATACAACGACAGCATTAATCATTTCATTAGAGTCAATTTAATCATGATAGCAGACTTTAATTTTTTTAAGTTCACAATATTGAAAGGACAGCCAATTTTAAGTTTTGTTGGCTAATCCTAACCAATCTTGTTAGCGGTAGCACCTTGCAAAATTGTCATTAACGGATAAATTAAAGAGTGATAGAACCATATATTAGTTTAGGTAGTAGTTATAATGAGTTGACACTAAAAGCAATGACGTATCCTGGATAATGTCTTTTTAGACCATCGATTATGCTATTTCAAACAGCATTAAAGAATAAGGGTAGCGTAGCGAAAAATGCCCAAGATTATTGTTGTGTTTTTTCCTTAGTACTTACTCTTATCCAAAAGTTTGATTTATACTTTGTCGTATACGCAATAAGAACAATAAAGACCGCAAGGTTATCGATATTTACAAAGACGAATACATTTTTAATGCTTTAATGTTTCTCGAACATGAAACTTTTTCTAGCTTTGGTCGATAGGACCAATGTCAAGCGTCATTCCATGAAGACGGCTTGTAATAATTGAACATTATTATAAATACAACAACATTGAATTAAGTTACGTGTCATAGTAATAATATTTTGGGGTAAATCATTCATTTTTTTCTAAATAATTACGCTTCTAATACGTAAATCTATTCATAATGAAGATTGGCAAATTGCAATAATAAATTTTCTATTTCAAAGGCAATACGTCATCAATCAATTTATAATAGTGAGATTAAAGATTGTCATTTTATGCATCCGGTATAGTATTATTGTATATTACAGTACCTAGGAATGACATTTTCTGAGTGTATATATAGACAGGTGATAGACGACATTTACTATAAAATCAGTTAGTGTTGAAAAGTGCTTCATTAACGCATGTATGATAAAATTCTTTGAAATTTTGCTATAATCCATTCATGTTCAGATTTTGATCAGTAGTCCGTTAACTTTGATGGATCCTAATCAAAATTATCATCATTATCATCATCCATGGTATCAAAACCATCGTTCATTTGAGCATCATCTTGTTCGCTCTCGTCATCGTCATCGTATATCTATTGAAAAGAATGCAAGAAAGAAGATATGATTCGTTTCTGCTCTCTATATACACGTATTGTAACATGGAACAACTATTCAAATTGAAGGTATTTAATGATGAATGTATTGAGTTTATTTATCACTGTCAATGTCGATAAGAAAGGATAGATTAGGCTGAATAATTAATCGCATTGTCAGTAGATAAGTCTGAATACTACTGTATACGCGTACACCAATAATTACAATTTAGATATCATCGAAATTGAAAGCACATGCGATACTGACATCTCCTTCGTCATCTTCATCTCCGGCTTGAGTCATAATCGCCTGGGAATCAGCACCAATATCTTGCATCTATTATGTTATAAGAAGACGTTGCTTGACATTAACAATATGTTTACTGCTTACTAGACATTACTGTATGATAGATATAATTCTAAGCATCTATGGCGGGTGAAATTTCACAAGCAAAACACTAAACTGAATCTATTACAATACGTATAATAACTAAAAGCTTTCAAATACGAATAAATGGCTACCGCGGTGTACAATGAATCAAGTTAAGTTATAGGTTAGCATGAGTTACTGTGCAAAAATATTGCTATTGCTTGTAGTATCATCATCGCCTTGACTACTACTACAGACTACAGTTTATTTTCGAGTCAAGATTAGGGACTCGTTGTACAAGATACTGTAGGATAGTGCTTTAGCATGATAGTTTGTGTAATAATATAAATAAGCTATTTATTAATCTCTGCCATCTTGTAAGTACTGTATATTTTACTATCTGTTGCTGAAAGTGCTATACAAGTTTCAGCAATAGGTAGTAAAATATAATTACAAGATACTAGAAACTAATATTTATTCTATCGCAGATATTTGAGCTCGAGTCAGTGTTACGATGGCGATTGTAGTACTTCGACAGCAGAAGAGATCTCCGCCTTGAATGACTAACAAGATATCATGGTGTTGTTGTTAACAACGGCATTAACACTTTGACTTGCTGAACGCAAATCCATTTATAATTTGAAGAATACAGTATTACCTGCTCCATAAGCCTATTTTCTTCTCTTTCTATCGTCTCTAAGTCATATAAATTCAAACTGAGAGTATACCAAGCGGCATCGACAGTACTAGGGCGCAATGAAGGGAAAGCACCAGCCATTTCTCTCTTTCGATGATATCGACTCGAACTGATTATGGAATTGCGCTTGCTGCAGCTCCAGTGCTTACTATATATTACAGTAGAGTATATTGATTTTCTGTCAGTCCGTCACGTCGTCAGTTGTGTCTTTTTAGTACTGTAGGCTTATACTGTACTGTACTGCACATTGTACTGTACAGTACAGTACAGTATAGCGATAACATTTAACCGGCAGCCAGACAATTTTGCTGGTCATTTCAACTGTGTACAGTACACAACTAGTACTCGACAACAGTACAGTACTGTACTCAGTGTACTGTACACTGTGGACAATTACAGTTCCAAGATTGCAGTCCAGTACAGTGTATACCACTGTAGAGCAGCATATCTAATTCACCATTTAAAATATAGGCGCTACGTTGAGTGTATATGGTAGGTACAGCATGATACAGTAGGCTGACGGTAATGTACAGTACTATATGCCGTAAACTTGTCATTCGGTACTCTACCAGTGAAAGGCATGTACAAAATTTGCACTAAAATCATAGACAGTATAGTGTACGGTAGCGGACATACGATACGCTCGAAATGACCAGCAAAATAATCGACCCCAAGGTTTTTACTCTACTGAACGATCATCTCCAGAAGACACAGTCCAAAAAACATGGAGGTTAACTGGAATATTAACCATATCTACTGTATCTATCTACTATATTAAAAAATTGGGGGGCAATTTTTCTTTGTGTGTCTGTTCGCAAAAGCTCAATATTAATTGGTATTTAGTGGATGACTACAGCATCTTCTTGTTAATTAGATATACAATTGTTAACTGTATTACAGTATGTGCGATGAAGGAAATGGCTGCGTCTATTTTCACCTTGAGTATTAAGACAAACAGGAATTACTAATAATTATAGCTCAGTAGGCGGTAGTCGTCAGACTGCATGCTTTGATAGAGATCAAAGTAAATTCGTACAGTCTCATGCTATACCGTTAATAGTGCAATACCAGAGCCTAGGGGATAGGATTGATTTCGATTATTTCCAAAACGAGAGCTAGCTATCATGATTGATCAAGCTGGTTAAGAATACGATTCATTTCAGATAGGATTGAATATGAATACAGTAGATGGATGCATATGTTGATAAAATCTCCTTCAATGAATCGTCTGAAATTTCGTCAGTACAGCACAGTACAATATATATTGTGGAGTGGCTTTTACCGGCAGAATCACAGCGCTACACGAAGAATTATTAACCAGAGGATACATCAATGCGTATAGCAAAGTTAGCCTCGCTTGTGGGGGGGTAAACAAGAGGCAAAGTTAAACAAAGATTCTACAGTAGTGTGTACAAAACAACATCATATCCGCCATAGTACCGAGTATGGTTTCTATCGAAAGTCCTCACCGGTCAAATTCAACTTGCCTTGTGAACCTGAATAATAATGATCTAGGTTCTCTTGATCCTTACTGTGTACTCTAGACATTGCTATAATAAAGGATCTCAAATGATGATGACATCATAAAATAACAACAAGCATCACTTTCATCGTTGAATAAGGCCTGGCTAATAAAATCAAGTAGTTACAAGTATCATTGCGCTGTTACAACCTCGTAGAAAGCAAATTGAGCAGTTGACGATAATCCAGTTCGCTATCATCAATCGCAAGTGGAATTGATGATCCAGTTCAATCCTGTCATCTATTGTACAATTGAGTGTTTGAAAGCAAATTCAAATCCAAACCCAAACTTTCCAATCGTGTAGCGCAGGCTAAATGGATGCTGTTGTCAAAAGTGTCAAGGAGAATATTTTAGCTGAATTTGACGGTAACATCTACTTTCCATATAAATACAATGTTATCGCAATAATCTTTGTCAGACGTGTCTTAAAATGCAATGAGATATCCTCATGAGAGTATCAGAATTATCATGATAACGTATTAATCTTCATCGAGTTACAACGTTAAATCTCATCAGGAATGGCCAACAAACGAAATCTGTTTTGTAGTAATAGCCCCTGATTTTAAAATTCTGTATACTGCAATCACAAGATAATCATCCATTGCCTACATGATCAATTTAAAACTCCATTGACAAAGCTTTAGCTTCGCTACGCAATCGTAGATTTGGGCTTTCAATGCATGCTAGTTCTTAATTGAAGTTTTAATATGCAAAATGACGACTACTCTATTTTTTGGACACTGTAGTAGATCGTAGCATGATATTTTACGGCGATTGCCTGCTTAATGCTGTCGTGTTGACGAATTTTACTGATTGCCTTCTTAATTCATTGATATTGCTATTAAATCGATCGTCGGTTCTGTTTAACGTCAATATACGCGTAAGCGTCTATAATAAATTAACTCAAAGCGTCTAATGCAGACTTCGAACACACGTATTCGTGAATAATAATTTTCTTATAGACGCACTGATCCATTCATGCTCCTAATCATCGAATAGCGTTAAACGTAGATCGAATGTTGATTTTACTCAAAACGATCGTTTGTTTGTCTTGGTGATTGCATACTCGGATAGTTAGCAATCAATGTTGTACTATGCCACTAATTAAATCAAGAAAAAGGATATTTGGGAATTAGCTACGGATTGCAGATTGCAATGATACTCGTAATCATAGTAAATACTTGACATAGAATATACGCGATCGTAGTTTTCCTAGTATTTACACTACTGCATCAGTCCTCAGGTACAGTAATTACCATTTGGATTGCTCACACTAGGCTAACACTTCTCAAGTAATCGTCAACGCCAACTCGTTGAAATGGACTTTTGTAGTACTGTTACAAAATTATATTTTCTATCAGTTGCTATTCTAGTCCATCATCGACTTCAACCATGTCAGTTTACTAGAAATTTGTTGATGGAAACTTTCACTACTTTTAGTTAATATTTACACATTATACCATCACCTTTGATATCAATGTAACTCTCAAGATGTCATGAAGCACAGATGTACTGCATGAACAATCGATAGTTTGATTATACAAGTTATGATACGATACTGTTCATCTGCTATGTTTACTTTCAAGCCTAGCAATATGCCCATATTGTAGTTGTTAATAGAAAGTTTTCAGTTTTTTTACTTAATATTTACTTATTGCAAGACCATTTTTGATAGTCTCTTTACAATCTCGATATTCTACACTATTTCAAATACAGTACATAAAATTTTAGCTATTGCTTGTCGCTTTTCATCACCATTATTATATTGAATACTTAGATCTAAAGTATAAACAATATGTCGTCCGCATTACTAATTCGTGTCTGCAATATATGCGTATGAGCAGTTAGCTTGATACGATCTACAGTAGTTTAGAAAGTTGCTTTTAATGGGATCGCAATGCAATACGAGTATGCTGCTGGTACGGATACGAATGGTAAATAGGTAGAAGAGATGAAATAGATAGTAAAGCACGACAGTGTATTCCTTCGGTTAATTATTAATTATTAAGTGCTCGATCCCATAACAAGCTTTGTCCTTGGCGGTATTATTCTACCTGGTACTTGCTAATGTGATATACGTATCATTACTAAACCTCATAGCTGTCCAAACGATTAAGCCTCGCTAGTATGCAATACTATTGGAAGACAGTATTACCCACAGATACTGATCTGCTATAAGCTCACGATGATGCAGTATTTTAGCAACCAAATGGGCTAATAATAACAGTATTCAATGTTTATTGACTAGCGATACATTACTAAAAATACCATTAATCTGTTGCACATTACAGTACTACTACCAATACCGTATATCACTCAATTCGTGCTGTATAGAATGGAATGATTGATGATTAACAGTAGAGAGTCCAACGCTGTAGTCCCTAGTAGATTACATACAATTTATAGTTTCATGACAATTACTGCATAACGTTGTATATATATACGTTGATTTTTAACGGTTGTATTATGATATACCAGTATACCTATGAAGAACTTCGACAGTACTTTCGACTAAACGAAATAGTGTAGTAACAGCAAGTACAAAAATAATTAAAAAGCTATCCGTACTATGATAATATGGTGTAAGTATGAATTCACTCCAGCATGAAAAATTGGTGTCAAATATACTGTAAAGTACTGCTGTAGCTAATTTTTTATGAAGAAATTATTTCTATTCTAGATCACTTAACAAGTGAGCAAACAATATGTTACCCATGTATAAATTAAAGTAACTAAGTTTGATTGAAATACCATATACTCATGAATAATGTGTATATCAGATAGGTATTACAAGATGTATCGCATACATCTTGTAACACCAAATAATATCGCTATAAACTTAAACCTTACTCCATCTTTAAATATGAGTATATAACAAACTACTATTTGGGTAATTATATATATTATTAATCCAGGCTAACTAAGGTACAATCTTTCTCCTGTTTCATTTATTGTATATATACGAGTATATACAGTACAGTATTATCGATATATTGGCCAATTAACCATCGAAATTACTATAAAGTTGTATATTTTCAACATTATGGTTCATGCTACGTTATTTACTATCTCAGATATTCTACTGCAATCACATACATGAAGTGAAGATTTTTATAGCTAATGTTGCTTTACGCTGCAGACATTATTGAATGATAACATAGAACATGCACTATGGTATTGATATAATATTTCCATGAGTACTAGAAGTAAACTTGTGATATCGAGTTTGTAGATCTTCAGCTCATGTTAACCTTACATTGCGGTGAATAGTAGATTTTTATGATAAAGATAGGTATTTGTGTTAAACTTGCAAATCTTTAGTAAAGTATAGCCTCACTAAAATTGAGCAATGTCGGAATTAAAACACCTACGACATACAAGCAATATTTCAAAATATTTACTTCAGTACTTTATGATATATATGTAAATTCTGTCCATTCTATTTTGTGGTGATGCTTTGTTTCAGTAGCTAAACTCTGAATTTCATCTTTCACTGACTAACTCTATAGCTGAAGTAACAAATGGATTATACGATCAAAGGGACTTTATTCACGTTTGTAGCGACAAGTTTATTGCAAACTTTGTTGAAATTAAACGTGGTGATAAACAAAAATCGCTAGAATTATTAGTAAGTATCGAATAGGCCGTACGGTTAGCTGCTATTGATAGAGAAATTTTACATATATTTTAATAGTAAACTTTTTATATATGTAGTATTGAAGAATTGCTAGATTTAAAGCAGGATTTTTCATAATAATAAATAACATTTTAATTCTTTACTCTGAATCTGATCAATAGCGAAGCTGCTTAAAATGGAGATTGGAATTTAAAGTTAACGGTTAGTAAAATTTGTTATACATTTATCTGGTAGCTGAGGCCCGAGGTTTATTTCACATATTTTCAGTCGATTAAAGATTTTAATATTTCTAAATTGTCAGGAGTATAATTATTTTTATATAGCTATATTCACATGATTCTATTTTCGTCTATGTATCCCTTGTATGTGTAGTTTAGAATTATTTTCAATGCAGATATTATGATTTTAGTAGAAAAATTTTGATAGCCTGTCTATCTGTCTTAAAAATATCATTTTCCAATAGATATTACTACCGAGTCCATTAATACCGGCGTAATTCAAGCTGGTGTATTATTCGTGCGCAATCATGATAAAAACGGGAGGCCGATATTAGTATTTAGCGGAAGGAAGCACCAGAAGGACACGGTGGCTCATGCGGGTGGCAAGCAATTATTTGTGTATTTAATGGAAAAGCTGGTTCGTTAAATATTTGATATAGCTGAAGTTCTTTAGTCATAATGTTGTTTGACAGGACTATCGATAGCTGAGATGGTGCTAGTTGATAATACCAGTAAATATCTATATAACTTTCGACTTTATTTTTTTTATATCAAGTATCGCCAATTTCAATACAAGAAAAAAATAATGTGCTTATTCGATATGACTGGATCTGGCCTAACTAATTTGGTAATTTAATGTTACTAGGCTAATACTATATGCAAGTTAATTTAGGTTTCGATGATTGCAATAATTCTAATTAAATCTGTTATTATATGACGAGAATAATAAGTCGATAATGCTGTCTATTTAAATCTAGGATATGCAGTTTGTAAAATTCGTTATCAGTTGCTTTGAAAATTATTATCCTGGGTTATTAGGTAATGTATTAATTTCTTTAAATATGGAGAAATCTATGCAAATATTTAATTTAGAAGGTTTATACTATAGTTATTTGACAGTTTTCTTTTAGCAATCTAATGTAGTTTTCATGTGGCAATCGTAAACAAATAGCAGCACCTTTGTATTATTTTTTATAGTACCATGGATTGCTTGATTTTTCGTAGCATTCAATTTACACAAGTCATAGTTAGCTGTTACTATTTCATATCGTATTTAGGTATGCACTAGCTTGCTTAATTATTATTTAATTTTGTTTGCGTCCTTTAGGAGTTTTAGTAATTTTGGAATTGCCATGGACATTAAATGGTAAGTGAACGCAGAGTACATTTATCTCGTTCTTTCTTACACTGACAATGGATAAACTCAACGCATAATTACTAAGTGATTATGATTTATACCAACGTTTTCCCGAAATTTTCTTTTGTAGCTGCATGGAAAATAATAAAGACATGGTTAAGTAAGGAAGCTTTAGAGATAATCAAGTAAGCAAAGTAAATATGTCACCTCCATAATTGTCATAGATTAACGCTATAGCTATTAATTATTTAGAGTTATAAAAAAGAACGAAATAAAAAATTTCGTAAACGAAGACCAACTACTTAGTCACTTAGGAGGAAAGGTTTACAATTTAGTTGATTTTTTCAATCAAAAATAGGATTCCATTACATTACTTATTATATTGCATTACATGATTTTATTTCTTTGTTTGTAAACAAGGATTGTTATGAATATTCCTCGGCAATTTTAAATTGTAATTTTGTGGAAGAGGATGAAGAGTATGCTTTAAATTTAACATACATTAATACGAGTAAATTTAATACCCATTAATAATGTTATTGTTTAATCATTGAGGCTTTACGATGATGCCATCTCAACCACTGACTCAGTGGAGGTAACTAATGGTAATGTGGAAGAGGACATGAGCAGTCATGAAGAAGAAAAGCGAAAGCGACATGTAAGAGATTTTATTAATGGGTAACTGCTTGAAGGTTATGTAAATGCGAAAGCATTGAAATTAACTTCATAAACGCCAATAGGTCCATTTCAATGACAATGTTGAAGAAATAGTTATGCCTCAGAACTCGGAGACTGCACTGGTATTTAATAGTTATCTGTATAACTTTGATATCATATTTGCGTAATTAATTAAAGTTCTTGTTAGGAGGAGCAAGAGAAAACGATTGAGAATCTTCAGCCGGGAATTGAAGTAGTGAATGAATCGGTATGATCTTGAGAATAATTTTTAAATCTACTAATATTGAAGATAATTCCGGTTAAAATATCTTATATGAATTTTTTGTCCAGGTTAAACGCTATAAAATATAATACTGAAGCATTATTACAACATTTTTACTTTACCTTAGCCAAATACGTTGCGGCAAAGATCTAGGCCAGTAATTGAGTCACCAGGGTTTCCTTCTTCACCAGTATCAGCTGTTGGTATTTTATTAGCTATTAAGTAAGGAAACTTACCATTTTATAAATAGTATTTTCAAGTGTAGTCTTTCATTACTGTTATGTTTTTCAAGTCCTTTAGATGAGATTATCTTCATGGGAGCGACCACTCCCAATAAAGAAGAAGTTAAAGAATGCGTAACTTTAACCAATCTATCAACGCAGCCCGTTGCTTTTAAGGTGATGTAAATAAGCTAACTGCTTGTCGAATTAACGAAGTATAATTTTACTGATTATTACTTATTACAGATAAAAACTACTTCTCCAGGAAACTATAAAGTTAGACCGAGTGTAGGGCTAATCCGTCCTAAATCATCAGCTACTATAAATATCACTCTTTTACCCGGTATTGCAAATGTGACTAATATACGCGTACGATTGATAATATGTATAATTTGTCAAAATTCCAACGATTCCACGCCTATGATTTACGGACTGATAACAACTGATTAATATAATAGGTCGCTCTCATTTGGTAATAAGAGACAAATTTCTTATATTGTCGACTGCCTTATCTAGTAAGAATATGGGAGGTGATGTAACATCGTGGTGGAAATCGGTCTTGCCTAGTAATATTATGGAACATAGGTCGTATACTTAACCATTATGTATCACGGAGATATTTATTAAAATTAAAAATGAAATAGATCAAGTAATTACAGTAGCTTACAAATTTATTACTGACAGTCATGTTTAACTATGGTATTACTTTAAATTTTGTACTATTTTTAGACTATTGTGTCGATTTACTCTATCCAAAGGTATGGAAGATAGCTTTCTAGCGACAGAATCAGACGATATTGTTGAAATGAAGAATTTAATTGTTCATCTTACGACCCAGGTATTTATAAGAAAATAATTTTTACCAATAAAATACCGTAGATTAGCTACTATTATCGCCATTAGTAACATCTAGGGGATTATTGGTTATCTTTTATAATTGGATGATTTTTCAACATACGAGTATAGGTCGGAAATGTAAAAGGTACTTTAGATCGGGTGGAAAGCGAAGCCAAATGTATTCGAAGCCGTTTAAATGTAATAATTTTTTCATTATTCTTTGTGATTATGAGTTGCTTGTGTTACTTAATTTACAATCGACAAACTCTTTTTTAACCTACAACCGTTATCGTTTTGGAGTAGCATCATACGGTCGTTGCTGCTTTGGATTGTTGATATTTTTCTTTTTATTGTCATTATTTCCGTCAGTGATTTGTATACCATGCTGTGCTTAATTATGGCATCTTTCTGTGTAAAACTGACAGAATTGGTAGTCTTATGATAGGAATTGTATTATTGGATTTCGTCATAAGGCTTTCAGTAACTTTATACCATGAATACTTGGTATATTGGATGTATAATTTCAAAGTTTTGATGTCTCAATTTTAAGGCAAATCAATTGCGTATCATTACATTTCAAATCTGTACATACTATATTACTATGGCTGCAATTTCAGTACTTTGAAATGTACAGTATATATATGTTCTATTGATCACTATAAGATTTAGCCGTTAATTATTTTGACTGATTTTATATCACGTCTAAAGGAAGTGTGAAATTATGATGTAAGGTAACCAATTAGATGTTTCAATATTTGGTTGTACGGGAAAGAAACATGTGTTATGCTATTACGGTAATATTTATCTTTTATCAGAGTAGCATTCTGCGGTAATATTGTATCCTATTCTGAGTCATGATGATAAATGGATTTGTTAATCTGCTCAGCTTAATAAAGCTCCGAGTTGTCCCTCTGCTCTAAAATAAGAGTTTACGGTTATTATCTCTAGACAGAATAGTTTTAACTTGTACGTTATTACATTGCAGTTTGTGTAGAAGTGACTATTGGTAGAGATGATTACAGTACGTATCATAGCAATTCTATTGCAATATCTATAATTCTCTATACTGTAGTGAACCTGTTCGATTTCAAGGGATCAACAGACTCTGCTCCGCTCAATATGGAAAACTGTGAGATTTGTATTGTGACGCCTTAATCAGACGCGGCAATTATGAATACCATAGATCGCACGATAAATAATTTGGAACTGATGTTGCGAGTTCATTGGCAAGATATGATTGTGTTGCTAAGAGTATCTAAATGATGAGTTTTGCTGTAATAGTTTGGATAGTTTGGCTACAGTCAGTTTAGTAAGAGCTACCTCTGCAACTAGCAATGATCGTCATTATATGCGTAACATTCCTGGTGAAAGTGTAATGAAAGGATGATGGAAAGTTGTAGTCCTAGGGAAAGGAAAAAGGAAGTGAAGTCTCAGCTCTACCTAGAAATTGCTGTACGCAGTCGGGAGTTTGAATTTCCTTTTCGAAGTCCCTCCGTATTTAGGGTTGTTGTTAAAAACTACAATCGTGTATCTTCCAATGTTGGGTTACTTTGCTGGAAATTCCTCGAATCATACAGTATGGTATCAGTATCAGTAGGGACTTCTGAGAGGTTCCAGGCTTCCAGGCATCCGTTTACAGTACAGTGTGCTCAAGAAGACCTACAGTACAGTGTACAGTACATTACTGTACAGTACTGTACTGTGCAGTACTGTATATTGTTCTCTACTGTATCAGGTACAGTATACAGTACAGTACATACTGTAGGTCTTCTTCAGTACTGCATTACGTATGAGATATAAAGGTACTGTACTGTACACTGTTGTTACGGAGCAAAGCACCGTACTTGCTAATTAAATAGATTTTGTCAGTATTTAGCTAATGGATCATATTGGTAAATGGCCGAAAGTAGTAAAGAACTACCATACAGTAGATCTCCAGGTGTAGTGGAGCAAGGCATAAGTAATCTATTAGTTTAGTGTAGTAGTTCGCAACATAAGTTTGTGACAACTGTACAGTATAGTAAAGCAGGTACGGCCACGGACAGAAAAACAGTCTAAAAGACGGACCTGAAATGACATTTCAGTAACTGTACTGTACAGTACTGTAGACTAGAAATGTGGAGATTGCATTTCAATTGCTTGCCTACTGTACTGTACTGTACGGTACGCCTCGGTACTGTACTGTACACTGTCCGTGATTATTGTGCCTTTATTTAGAAGTGCACTCGTGGTGGAAGGCACCACGAGTGATTGACGACACATGGACTGTAACCTGAATAGTAAGTACTGTAGAAAGGTTTCAAAAATGATAGCGGCCAGTGAGTCTCGTGCAATTTCGAGAACATTCTTCTAGCCTTGGCTTTAGATAGATAGAACGATTAAAAGTCCAAAGCGATCCAAGCAATTACTTCTTACTGGCTTTCACTCTTGACAAAGAGGACGATACACATCCCCTTCTACTTGTAATTTTCTATCTTTTGCATACCAGCTTGGAAATAATAGGTAATACACTGTTTGTCCTTTACCATGGCCATGATAGCGTACTATAGAATAGGAGTCAACGTGAATATCCATTCAATAGCAGTAGTAGTGGAGGAGAGAAATTCTATTAGCTCATTTCTTTCTTATTCAGTCAATCCAAAGTGTACATTATGCAATACATTAGCAATGAAGTTAGGTGAATAAATGTCCATTAAATCGATTGAATCGGCTTGTGATGGTCTATTTTTTCATTCTTTTCATATTTGCTAATCTTTCAGGAATTGATCAATCATGTCCGTAGTGGGATTTGACTTGGGAAGCCAATCTTGTTATGTAGCAGTTGCTACCGGCGGTGTCATTGAAACAGTTACTAACGAATATAGCGATCGATCCACCGGGTAAGTAGTACCCCATTTCTTATATATATATACTGTATAGTATTTCATTATGACGAATGGGAATGAAGTGAAACCATGCCTGTAGTGGAGGAGTAATGGACAAAATTGAAATTACTATTGTATACCTTTGATACTACAGTAGTCGATTGTGTCCGTTTGCATCGTAGCGTATTCAATGATATACCAGTACTGCATGGATCATGGATGGATTGCATCGATAGTCAGGAACGAGTTGTAATAACCTTTCAAGGCGTATGCTAATTTCGCTCTGCTGTACGGTAATGTAGTATCTGTTGCAAGCTTTACTGTTCTAATAGTTTAGAAATACTATAAAAAAAGGGTACAATAAGATGAATTCTGATTGCTCTGCTCTTCGAGTACTTACTACTGTATAAGATAACATGATATACCGTGCAGATGCTGTAGTAAGTAAAAATGGCTTGTCTACTCTGGACAACAATTTCCTTAGCAGTAGTTAATTCAGTCCGTCAAGTCAAATATTTGCAAAGGAATTATTTTATTCAACGCAGCAACTTAGAATTAATCATTGTTACCTTTACTGCTGGATTATTCAAATACTTTACGCATCCATAGAATCTAACTATTATTTATGCAGTTATAAGCCCTCAACGTTATCGCCATTAACAAAATGAATATTTCAATTGTATCACTATATTATGCAGATCTTATGTATCGTTCGGTCAACGACTTCGATGTGCTGGTACCTCTGCCAAGAATCAGGTAAAACTTGATCGATCCCTATATACTATAGGATAAATGACACGTCCATGTGTTAAATGTAGTCATATCACTACGTTATCTATCTTCAAATATAAAATTAAATTAGGAAATATGATGCATTCAACAATTAGTCGTATTTATAAATTTCATTATCGTAGATATTGATTTTGTAGTAGCATGTTAATTTTAGCCTTTTTGATAAATATCTTGTCAATATATTGACTCCACTTGTTAATATTATTGCATGTAATAAATAATTATTACCTTACTTGAATGAAAGATTAATTTATATTTGGCCCCCCGAAATTGATCTTAGGCTATCACCAATCTGAAGAATACGACCTTTGGCTTTAAGAGATTGCTCGGCCTCAGTTATGATCATCCACTCGCTCAAACTGAAATGAGCAATTTAATTAATGAATTTGTTAAAACTGATAACAACGAAATAGGTTACAAGGTAGGATACTTCATATTATGAATAGAATGCATACTAAATATAGGAGATAATAATATCGTGCTTAAGTTTTAGATGGAGTTAAACATTCATCGAAAAATTTAATAAATTACGATATTATTATAACACAGAATGGACTGACAATCAGTGTACTTTCAGGTGCGATACTTAGATGAAGAACATATCTTTACACCATTGGAACTAATTGTTGCTATGCTAACGAAACTAAAAAATGTCGCAGAAACAGCATTACAGTCTAAAGTAACAGACTGTGTAATTTCGGTATGCAGGTTTTAATAGCTTTCAATAGAGTCAATCGTTTCTTTAGATGTCGTACAGTAACATCCAATTTAATGTTCTTAAAATGCGTTAGATTCCTATTTACTTTGCTGACTCTCAAAGGAGGCAAGTGTTGGATGCAGCTCGAATAGCTGGATTAAATTGTTTGCGACTGTTGAATGATACCACTGCAGGTAGATCGCGCTAGATTTAAAGATGAAGGGGCTTTAGTATTGTATTTTATTATTCAATAATAACCTTGGAATGTAAATTTATAATAGCTGCTCTGGCTTATGGTTTCTACAAATCTGATCTACCAAATGCGGACAGTGAAACGGCCAAAAATGTAGCATTTGTAGATATGGGCTATACAGGATTTCAAGTCTCCATTTGCGCATTAAAGAAAGAAAGCGTTAAAATTCTTTCCTCTGTTGCCGATCATACTTTGGGTGGTCGAGAGATAGACTACAGACTTTTACAGCACTTTATCGAAGTTTTCAAAGTTAGTAATACTATTTATAAAATTTTTGGGGGGGACATGATAATTGTACACGTTCTTAGTAATAAAAATATGAATTTTTATATCACTATTGTAGGTTAAATATCGATTAGACATTAATGAGAAACCAAAGGCTAAGCTACGTTTATTATCAGAATGTGAAAAACTAAAAAAATTGATGAGCGCTAATACTACTGAGATTCCTATGAATATTGAATGTCTCATGAATGATAGAGACGTTAGCGGTAGAATGAAAAGGTATATTGATAAATGTATGATTTAATTTTAACAAGACATCATTCGTTTAATTGATATAAAATTTTGTAATTGATAACTTAGAGCTGATATGGAGGAATTATGTCAAGACTTATTCGATAAAATACCTGTAGCTCTCAATAAAGCTTTGGCAAATGCGAAGATTACTGCCCAGGAAATTGCTAGTATAGAAATTGTCGGAGGATCGACACGTATACCGGCTGTTAAGCAAGCTTTACAAACATTTTTTGGCCAGGAAATTAGCACGACTTTAAATCAAGACGAAGCTGTAGCTAAAGGATGCGCACTGCAAGTCCGTTATACATTCGTTTATAGTATATTTTTAATTTAATCGATCGATTAACAACCTAACATGTATTTTGTAAATACCATATTATAAGAGTAATTAGCTAATATCTATCTTCTATGCAATGTTGACTATTCATTTTAGTGCGCAATATTATCGCCTAAAGTTAGACGTCGTCAGTTCGCTATTGCAGACAAAGCAATGTATGATGTGCACTTTATTTGGGGAAACTCTAATCCTTTCCAGTACGTATTATAAATATTTGAATATAGTGTGCTCATTGGAATTTGATTTCATGTAATTCAGCCAATATTATTTACAGACTAGTAGCCGGAGATGCACTTTTTCCTTGCCTTAAATCTATTACATTACCTAAAGCCGTGAAGGGAGACTTTCCGCTAAATACTTTTTATCAATATCCGGAAGAAATAATCAATAACCAAATTAATATTAGTATGTCTTTTATAATATCTAACTTCGCACATATTAAATGTGATTACCGTTGTATGATGTTACAGTAATGTTTATTGAATCTTCATTACAGCACGTAATCAGGTTCATGTTCCTGATGCTGAGACGGATTCACCATCTGTTAAGATAAGATTTCGCCTTGATGATCATAGAATCCTCAGTTTAGAGGAAATTACATTAGAAGAAAAGTTGCCAGCACCTGCTGCAGAAACTGAGGCTGAAGCATCTACCGGTAAAGCGAAAGAGGAAACTCCTGATCAAAGTGAAAAAATGGAGTGCGATGATGCTAAAAAAACGGATGATAAGGTGCCCAGCACTTGTTAATTCATAATTTCTTAATAAAGCGGTTGTAAATGTTGTGTCTAATAAAAATGTGTGCGATAGGCGTCAGATGATGTCAACTCTCAAAAGCAAGGCAAGGAAAGTAAAAGTAAGCCAAAGCATGTTAAAAAATCTACCAAGGTACCTTTTGAACATGGTCTAACATTCTCCATGAGTAATACTGCTCTTGAAAGAGCGATTGAAAAGGAGGTCAGTTACAGTCTAGTTACCATTGCATTCTTTCAGAATAAGACTTTTTAGTAGTTTCTAACTGTCTTTATTTTGATGATATATTTAACAGCTCGAAATTCAAGAAAATGAACGCAAAGAAAAATTAAGAGCGGATGCTAGAAATAGTGTTGAGGAATATGTATACGATATGCGAGGAAAAATTTATGAACAACTTAGCGAATTTATTTCAGAGGAAGTAAGGAAATATCTTTTTCTGAGATTTTGTAATTATATTAAGCTTATACTGTATTCGAAATATTCTTGAAGGACCGTGAAGCTTTTTCACGAAAACTAGATGACGCTGAAAATTGGTTATACGAAGATGGCGAGGACGCTGAGAAAAGTGCTTACACGAATAAATTGGAAGAGTTGAAGGTAATAATCGTTGTAATTATTTAATGACAATTGCAAATACGTAAATTGGACGTCGTTAAAAGTTTAATACATGGTTTCAATTCATGATGGATCGTAATAAATATAAATCTTTTATCGTTTCAATTATGATACATTATCTGTAGAAACTTGGTAATCCTATCCTATTACGATATCGAGAAAGTCAGACAATTGATGCAGCTATGCAAGATTTACTACGTATTACGATGCGGACAAGGAAAGAAATAAATCGCTTTGATAATAAGGTACTCTATGCTCTTACGATGATTGCCTTGTACTGTAGATTAGATATTTAATTCCTATGTAACTAATTACTTTGTAGGAGGAAATCTATTCACATCTTGATCCTAAAGAAGTAGACAAATTACGAGAAGAAGCCGCCTCTGTACAACAATGGGCAGACAAGCAGATAGGTGCCCTTCGACAGAAAAAGAAGTACGATAATCCAACTGTTCTAACCAAGGAAGTTGAAGAAAAAGCAAAGGTATGTAACATGGCTTTTAGATTTCAGATTACAGATGAATATATGAATCATTTTTACACATTGTGTAATATAATTTAAAGAGTCTACATTACCGTTAGGTAGTTGGGTGATAAATCAAATAACTTATCCAAATTGCCAATACTGATAGCGATAATCACTTTCTATCACAGGGACTATCCAAATTAGCAACTTCAGTACTAGATAAGAAGAAGCCTAGTCCACCCAAAGATAAAGAACCAGAAAAGGCAAAAGGTCAAAACGATACGCAGAAAAGGACTGAGGACAAATCGAATGCCGAGGAGCCCGAGGCAATGGATGTAGAGAGTCCTGCAGGTGACAACACTGCAAAGACAAATGAAAATGTAGACTGTCAATCCTAATAAATTTATAGTGTTACAATCGAACTACTGGACATGCTATGCTATCTATGCTATTTGATATACTTGTCGCAATAATTGATATGCTTAGAAGTTTTGGTAAATTCGGTTAATGGTACATACTTCGGAAAAATACCTCTTATACCAGTGAGGGTTTATTAAGTTCCTATTCTCAAGAGCAAACTTGTTGCATCATGGCAGGTTTAACACTTTGTTAAAGAAAAAAATTAACTATTAGATCGCTTTGCTGTGATTTCTTATCGCTGTATGCTTATATGGTAATGACTATTCAATACCTTCATAGGTTGAAAAGACTTCATTTCTGATTTATTGTTGCATAGTTCTATATTAAATCATCAATGGACGGTAACTGATGTTTTGTCATATGTAGTACTGTGATAGTACTCGTCTGTCGCTTGGGGTACCGTGCTTTGTTTATTGAGTCGTACGTCATTGCAACGAATGAGATTTGATGATACTGTATCGTTTACAATGACCACATATAACGGGTATCTTGCTGTCTATGTAGCCCCTTTTCACGATAATTACTCATATGTACGTCAATAAATTGTAGAAGAATTTAGTTACTAATGCCTTAGGTTGTAGTACGTACAACAAAAATTATTTTCATCTCTAAAATTATCAATATTTTAGAAATTTTACTTTGCCCTTTCAATTGCAATCGCGACTTGAGTATTCGTAAGATAAAATTGTATTTGACTCTGATGAGCTACTGTAGTAACTACTAACCTTTGCAAGCATCTCTTGTATATTAAAAATCGCATCATCAAAGTGAATAGACGACGATGTTCTATGACAGTGATAGGCTACTTTAATACTGTACTTAGTTAGAGCAACTGCAAAGTTTACAGGTTAATTTATTACGTATTGCAATCCTAGAGCTTCGCACCTATTTCAAGTACGCTTATAAACCAATCTTATACAGTCCCATAGTTTACGATAAATATGAATTGTACATGCTTCAGTACTTGTGCCCTGCATAAATACAGCACTGTTGCATCAAAATGGTACAGTTTATAAAACAATAATTGTGCGACGGTTTACCGATTTAATTGTAATAGAAGGGTTTACTATCATGCAATTTGTTCTGCGTAAGTATTTAGTTACTACTTCTTGTTTGACAAAGTTATTGTATTGTTCACAATTTGCTATCGTACAGATAATTACTACGATTAGCGCCAATAAAACTAACTATAGGTTAACATAGAAAAAAAGAGATTATCCATTTCCGTAGTAGAATTTATGAAGTCTAACATAGTTCGACACTATCATTTGTATCCTTTATTTTTATGTTTGTAGTTATCACAATGTACAAAATTTAAAATATAATGACAGGTAACGTTTCTAGCGTACAAATTCAGTATGGTGTCAATCATTTATTTAACCGCAAACAATGACATTGTAGTGTCCTAAATATTAACAGCCTTGGAGATATTAGTAGTACAAACGTAATACTTGTAAACATTTCAAGCAGAAGCTATCTGAGCTAATAACAACTGCTATACAATACAATATACTTTGTTGGCACGTACATAATAATGAAGAGTTTCGAGACAAAGGATGCATTTACTATGAATCGAAATCTTCTAATAATTATAAGAGTTATTAAACTGACATTGTTTATGATTAGATTGTCAAAATCATAGCTGTTTAATCCACTATCCTGTTATTATTGGTCATATTTACGAAATTCCATTCCGTCCGGTGGTTTACAGTCAATATTTTTCTCTTTGACCTCGCCCCAATTGGTGCTTAGTACTGTTCCTTTTGATTCAACCTAATTATATTAAGCATCATAAAAAAATAGCGAATTCGTTTTCGGTAATATAACGCGAGTAAACGATCCTATCCGGAATTCAAATACAGTATATACGTATGCAGTATTTAAAATATGCTCACAAATGATTTCATCATTGCCCGCTTAACATCATCACTACCATCACCATAAATTTGTTGGAATAATTGATTTAGTGCTGCATCGCCTTCAAGCTTTGTCTCCTTTTCTTCTTGTTTAATTTCAGCTTCTATTTTATCCCAATCTTTCGTACCACGATTTGATGAAGGATAAGTGCGAATCTTTGTTGCTTCTACAATTTCGAGATTTTCAAAAGTGAAGATATTATTCTTTGTTAGCGTTAACGGATTAAAATTTGATTTGAGTAGCAATTACAACAATATCTATGGATTAAATTTTCCCTTACTTTCATCGGGATCACTTTTAGTTAAATTAGTCCACTGTATCCCTTCTGCTTTCTTCAATCGAATTTCTATCTAATAAATAAAATTAATTAATCAACAATTACAATTAAAATTTGATTTTTTTCTCCATTGCAATACTTTTTCTGACTTACCTTTGTGGTTAATATCTTTGCTTTTGACTGACTTGGGATAATATCATGACATAAATTAAAAGATATTGTTCTACTGTTTCCATGCTGATCCTGGAAAGTCACTTGAACAGAATTTGCGTCAAAATCGATCGAAAAATCTCTTGGATTAACCTTTTTGCTTAAAATATCTATAGTAACTGTAGTTTGTGTTTGATACCAATCGTGCCTTTCGTAGAATTGATAAAATTATAACATGAGAATAGCTACAGAGATATCAATTTTCATACAGATCATCCAGTACCTGATCTTAGGTGAAGCTGATACGACAGTTACCACTTCAGCGGCAGCATTATCGGTCTCAGTAACAGCTTTATTTGATTTCTAAATGCATTTATAAATTATTTATAGTTGGGCTCTTAGTAAGACACATTTAATCATTGAAAATAACTTTATAGAGTGTAGAGATAACAATATTTAGTCGTTTAATTGAGCACAAATTCAAAAAGAGCCTTTGAATACATAAGTACTGTACTTGTGCAAGATCAGAAGGGTTGTCATTAGATTGCTGGCCCAATTCTGTGCATTTAATTAAAATTAGCAAAATATTTTCATGATTATAAATTCTGAATGTGATATTGGAAAAAGTTCATATTTCAACGAAGTTAAATTCTTACCAGCAGTACATTTATCGATCCACATAGCAAACGATTCCTCATTGCCATTGACTTCTTGACCGCGTAAGAATGCTTCTTTAGCGTGACTGTAATCACGAATGTGATATAATCCAATTCTAAAAGTATTTAAAAAGCACCGTTATCAAACGTTCATGCAATTAAGAGGAAGATAAGTCATGATGCATTTAAGCATGTATAGCATCATTGCATTCACAATAAGATAGGGAAAAAGATGCTATCGCTAAGTAACATAAGTTCAATTACCCTTTCCTGAGATATGATTTCCAATTTGTTGCATCAATCCGAATTGCATCATCGGCATCCTTAATAGCCTCTATAAAAGATGATTAATTAATCAGTATATAAAATCAAGTAGCATTGTTAAGATATTCTCTGCGTCTCTACTGAGTCTATACGTCAACTCGTCTATATACAGTAATCTTTAGATGAGTAATAATTTCGATATGCTGTATCAGTACCGTATATCGGCATATATTCGTAAGTAAGTGCGTAGTCTAATGCCCACTTTGCGTTCCACCAAGCTTACCTTGATATCTCTTGACCTTAATTAATGCTGTAGCACGCTTAGTGTAATATTCAGCAATAGTGTTGTCTTTTTCGATCGCTTTTGAGTATAGCTGTAAGTGCGGCCATAACAATCATGTCAAGGACGTATAGCACTCGGTAAATTTCTTATACCAAAATGACTATTAAAAAACTTGATACCTCAATGGCTTCCTCATAATTATCATCGACGAAAGCTTCATTACCGCAACTACAACAACAGTGCAATATAAATATATCAAATTAGCCCATATCTGAACATTGACCCTTTCTAGGTGCTGAGGCAGAAGTAATTGCCTTTGTCACAGCTATCATTGATCACCACCAATAATATTATTATTAGATACCATTCCAATGAATAAATCTCTATTCAGTCAGTGTTGTGATCTAGCTCTGATTGCATGCTTGCATTACCTGCAATATTTTGCTGCATCCATTTGGATTTACTTCGATTTTTCAGCAATTTTAGTATGAAAAACTTTCGTAATTGCAGTGGAGATCGTCCGTACTCGCGCTCTCGGAAGCTGGTTCAACTGGTTACTATAGGAAACCAATTTATAGCCGCTATCAAGTACTGTACAGTACAGTACGGTACTGTAGAAAGTGCAATATGGCAGTATGCTATCGCAAACTGGTCTAATGTGTACTAGTATTACTAGTGCTATGTGTGCGGCCATCAACTCCAGTATACTACAGTAACTACACGCTGTACTGTGTACTGTACACTGTACAGTACAGTACTCACAGCAGTACTACGATTCAGTAATCAGTAGCATGAAGGCACAGATGGACAGAACCTGTCCAGCTTTAGTTACCATAGAAATGACCAATTTGGACAATTTGCAGATATACAATATAACACATAACTCTAGGATTACTATTTGTAAACTTTCACTATTGGTAGGCAACAGACTCACAATAACTGTAACAGAAAAGAGTTGATTACCTTATCAATATTATTCTCTTTTTATTTAGTCAGATATCATATTGAAATTTCAATACAGAATGACAATAAGCTATGTTGTGCAGATGATATCAAGTTATTAGTCCTTAGCTCGTTAGCAGGAAAATAGTTTACGCATTACTCTATTTCTCGAATATGAGTTAACTGGATACATCATGTTAATATTAATATATAATAGGCGCAGCTACTCATGGCAGTTTTATCAGATTTCAGTAGCCAGTAAAACCACTACCGTATCCATGGCCATAGCCTTTATGACTTCCTACGGTAACAGTGTGATAGCGATAGGCAGTAACAACCACTGTTGTCGGCACAACAGTTGGAATTTGACGCGTAGTTGTGGAGATGGATGTTTCCACTTGTGTTTCTGTTTCTGTTTCCGTTTCTGTCTCTGTACTTGTGTCTGTTTCTGTCTGAGTAAGTAACATGGTTTCTGTTGCTGTAACAGTGTCTGTTTCTGTTTCCGTTTCAGTCTGCAGTTCTGTCTCTGTTTCAGTTTGGGTCTGCGTTAACGTATCTGTTAACATAATTGTAGAAATATCTCTTGACGTTATTACAGAAGTCAAAACTTGAGTTGCTGTAGACGTAGTTGGCACCAACTTTGTCTTAATTAGAGTTTGTGTCAGATACGCATAGCCATAGACAGCTTGAGGTCGATGATAATTTCGGTATATTGGAACACTAATAAACTTGGTTTTAGTCGCTACTTCTGTCAAAGTCACAGGAACAGTGGCCTCGATGGTAGAAGTTTGAGTCGCTGTTTCCGTCAAAAATTCAGTTTCTGTATCGGTAACAATGTTAGTCATGGTAAATATTTCGCGTTGAGTCTTGGTTATACGTCTAATGTCAGTAACCGTAGAGACCGTTGGTACAATAACGGTAGTTAGTTGTGTCGATGGAGGTAAGGTGGTTGTTGCAACTACCTTTGTGATACATTTTCCATAACCAGGACCGCCGTAACCTCCAGGAAAGATTCCAGCTACGTTTGAATAACCTGAAGATTTATAGCAATAGAATTGATAAAATTAGCGACAAAATCTCGTCTAAGATCTTCCTAGCTACAGGCAGATTGATAATAAAGTTACCACCGATCGACTGTTAGCAATTTAGCAAGCTTAGCAATTTCGATGTACTTGTCATAGTCATGCGTCAGTTTTACAGATACGAAATTTTTACCTGTATTCTTACCTGAGCGCTTGGATAGTTTATGCTCTAGTTTTCGGGTGCTAACACTACCAAAGATAAAAGCACAAACGATGATTGTAGATATTATTTGCATGATGAAGAATTTGAATTATCGTCGTTTCCTACAGAAATTTCTATTCGAAAAATCACTTAAGCTTGTAGTAAGAAAAGTTCAGTTAGCGTTTATATACCCTTTGTGGAATTGCAACCATACAAATTGTGTAGTGTGAAGAGATGGGTGACTATCTCAATTAACATCTTGATATGTAGATGTAATTGTTAGTGCCAATCATTTTTCGAAGAATTAGGACTCAAAGTCATTATGATACTGTAAGAGCGATTTAATATCGCAGACTGTGTAAAGTAATTTTCAGTTTACCGATTTGTAATTTTACACCAAAGGGGATAGAAAATATGTTACCATGATAAACGGATATTATTGCCACAGTGCTAGCTATATAGTAAGGAATGTACTTGATGAGACATTACAATTAACCCATCTAGAGCCATACTATACACATCTTTCAAATTATAATTATTTATTGTTACCGAAGAACACCTTTTCCTAAAAATATCGCCACTGATTTAACAGTTGTACAAATTGTTTCTCAAAATACTAAAACGATAGTAAATGAGAATATCGTTTACACCATTCATTAAGCTGTGTTATAACTCATAGTATACACGTATCTAACTAGTATTAATCTGGTAAGCGATTTCTTTATAGCACCAGCTTGTTTCTAATCTTAATCTACTTATCACACAAAACAGCTTACTGTTAAAGTAAGGTTACTTTCAGCAACATCATCGTTGAATAGCAACCCCTTATCGATTAACATGAAGAGAATTAGATAATTCTGCATCCTTGAAAGATGATATAACAGTGTAGTTTAATAATAAATATGATATCAATAGTACCTGCTAGGTCTGCTCACATCATTTTACTGCTAAAGGCACTTCATATAGTTGCTAATATACTATGCAATTTAGTAGAGTGACGATAAAATTGCAATCAGTCAATTAACAGCTTTAGTGAACAATTAATGCAAGTAACATGTTTATCGAATATAAAAGGTATTAGACTACTTAACATTTTTAAGTATGGTTCTAAATTATATATCAACAGTGCAACTGACTATCATCATTGGATTGAATAGGCATAATGTATTTGTGCAGCCTATCGCCTTCCTCATTTACAAAATTCATTACACTGGAAATCAATCATCTTTTGGTTTTTCAGCAACTTCTTCATTCCAAGCTGATCGAATATAGAATCCAATTATAACATGAACCATAACAACAGTAACTATAGCTGCAGGAATAGAGCCGTTTTCAATACCCATATAAGCTGTATGAAGAAATAAAATTATTGTACACAGTTGAGTATCGATTGTAACAAGATAACTGATAGCTTATTAGGTCAGCGTAACTTGACGGATATGTCTATCCTTTAACTTAATGATAAGATAAAGTTAGCTACTGAAAATATCTTTTAAACTGTTGATAATTTAGTCTTATTGGCGCAATAAATGATACAAAGTGAACAAGAGCTACTCTTATAACAGTGTGATGAAAGTTATAACGAATGGAAGGTGTCGATGGATTTGATATTTCTTGCACCATATGGCTCATTGCACGATGCAAAGTTATTAAAGGTAGATTTTACTATTTTACAGCGTATCATAAGATAAGAATTATCCGGTGAGTAGAAAGGCGATTAGTAAAATCCTATGAAAGATATGACATCTTACAGAACGTTGTAACATTGCTAGATATAGATTGTATGCTAGTTAGCTAGTTGGCTTACCTTCGAATAAATATCCCTTGGTAAGGAAATAAGATCCGATAGGTAAAGTAATCATAGCAATTGAATAAAAGAGTAATTTCATTAAAACAGACAGCTCCCTGGGCCTAAATTGATCAAAGTAAAATAGACAGATAGCGTTATTAAGAACAAATGTGTTACATACTACGTCTATTATAATGTGAGAATTATTAGATTAACGCTTTCTAAAGTTGTTTTGCACAATACATGATAGGTATTTGAACTTGTATTACTCGCGCACTATGAGCGCTTGAAGTTGTAGATTGTTGCTGTTTACTGTAAATTACAGTATACTTTAGAGATTAATTAGTAACCAAGTGAGAGAATTGGATCGAATCAAAGATTGGTATTAGATGTCGAGTAGGTTATAGGATTATTATAATTTCTATCCTTTGGTACAGTCTATTTACTAGTACTGTACATTGATTATAATTACGAAAGGTGTCGAAAATGGATTTGCATGATATTTTATGTCGTTCACTCATGTTGCTTGCACTCTACCCTACCTAAAACTATGAATAACTAGCACAATCAATAAGGATACCTATTCTACCTGCAGATAATTCATACTATAACTCAGTAACGTATGAAATCTGCTTCTATATTATGCTACGTTCTTGGAATTGATTTTATAATTAATGATTGCTTGACCAACAAATTGAATTTCATCCTCCTTTGAGAAATATTCTACAGTGTGACAACTTTTTCGTAGCATAACTATTATAGTATCCTCTCTAGCCTCTTGATCCATAAAGAGAAATCCAATTCTTACCCGAATTGAGTGCCAACTTGAGCTCGATGTTGAGCAATTGGTGCTGCTGCAGAACGTTGGGCCATGATTTTCTTCGTTGTTGATAGGCTCGACAAGGAATCTTGAGACTACGACAGAGAATCTTACTGCGATGCCGCGCTGTGAGTAATACACAGTATGGCCGATGGCATCATGTACCGTACGCGCTAGAACAGCACACCATGGCCTAACTAGGGTGTACATATATAACAAATTAGCCTATAGCGTACTATAGTGCCATGCGCAAGCTACGACTGCGTATGGAAAGAGGCAACGTGTCACCTAAGCCATGATCCATTTAGCCTATAGTAAAGCTCATCGCAGTGCTAACACCTAGTCAACAACCACTAAGTAAGATTATTGTACGAGTAGCAATAAAAGTCATTATTGCCAGGAAGACCATAAGATTGCTAGCTAGCATTTCGAGCTGCTCTCTTTTTCTGCTTCAAGTAGCCCAATCTGGATTCAATTTTCCCTTATTTGGCTGGTAGTTGGTTATTTTAAAATTGTTTATCTTTAATTGATCGTATGATACTTTCAACAATGTCGAAAAGTGCTCAAGTTGCTTCCAAATTACATGCGGTTACACAGATACGAAGTGGTATTGGTCGGCCATATTGGGAGAAAAGAACGTTAAAGGCATTGGGATTAAATAAGATCAATAAAACTGTCGTCCATAAAAATACTCCAACAATTAATGGTATGATTCATACAGTTCATCGATTAGTTAAGGTCCAACCTGTGAAAATTATTGAAGGTCAAGCAGTTATCAATGGTCAAGCAAGAATTGGTCCTTTGTTATGTAGCAATGGTAAAGTTTTTCTCCCTAGATATTAGTAACGTTGAACAACTTCAATGCAATTGCATAGCAGTCCTCCCAAGACGATTTGATAATAGATAATTATTTTGAACGTATTGGAAAAGGCGAAAAATGAGATAGCTGCCATGATATTTGCTTTGGATTATCAGACTAGCGATAAATTATGGAAAAAAAAATGGTTTACGGATGAAGCATACTCGAATGCCACTACGAATACTAAAATTGGCTTCGATAAATATGTCGACTGTAATCCGCATGTGACAAATAAGCCAACTAATACGTATAATACAATTATTTCCGATGTATAGAATAATTGGCAAAAATTGTAGCGTTATAATAAAATTGATTATGGCTGATAGCTGTCAGCCGTTACTGTACTAAATTATGCAGAAATATCATGTCGCAATGGAAAAGGATATCTTAGTTTGCTTGTGATCCACCTTGTAGATTGGTTGGACTCGTTATTACTGTATCTATCTTGATGATTGTTATGCTTTGTAGTGTATCGTTATCATTTGAAATGGAAGCTGTTTTGCAAATAACTACACATAAAGGTAACTTTGATCACTAAAGCATACGTTGTTATCATGCAATACTGTAGTATTGATAATGTTTCCATGCTGTAAAATACTTCTAAGATGGCATCAATCGCTGTAATAAGAAGGGATGAGACTATATAAAAGGAAATAAAGTTTTTATATTAGTGGTAATAGCATTTAGTTCTTGAAGGTATTTATAAGGATTTTATACTATGAGCATCATTAGCAATTCAATACTTACTTCATACTAATGAATATGAAAGGATATTGAACAGACAAGTCAATTTTATCTACGTTATTGTAGCAATTTAATAACGTATGTTTCGAATGCCGTACTGCATAATTCGCATGATTTAAAATTTTCACCTACTCTAGGTCACAGAACATCCATTAATAGAGGATTAAATGAGACTGGGATTTACAGATATTCTTACTGTAGTGGGAAATGTTATGCTTTTTTATTAATTCACAACAATATATTGAAGTCGCATAACTAATGCACTACTGCACGGTTAGAGTGACTCCAACTAGATCAGATAGCAACCAACAGTAGTGAGTAAATATAGGATTTACAGGTATTCCTACTGTAGCAATCAATGTTAAGCTTTATTATTCTTCAACAACATAATGAAATATGACTAGAATGATTTAAAATTTCAACTAGGTCAAATAACATTTAATGCAAGAGAATTAACGATAGAATTTATAAGCATGCTAACTGTAATAGTATATGCTTAGGGTTCATTTTTACCGTAGCAGTATAATTTGAGTGCAGCACCACATAATTAAAATGATTTAGAATTTTAACTAGGGTATATAACATACAGTGTTAGAGAGTTTAAGATTGGATTTAAAGATGTTCCAATTGTAGTAGAAATGTTGTAACTCAACAATGTGATTCGAATGCAATAGTATATAATTAGAATAATTTAGTATTTCAACTAGGTCAAATAACGTCCAATGATAGTTTAGAGATAAAATTTTCAGTTATTCTTACGATAATAGTAAATTTTTCACTTTAGCATACCGTAGCATTATAATTTGAGCGTTACACCTCAAGATTAGGATGACTTAGAATTTCCACTAGGTTATATAACGTGAAAGCTTATCCACAATAGTGTGATTCGAAGGCAGCTGTGCATGATTAGAATAGTTGAGAATCTCAAACAGATCAAATAACGTATCATGATAGTTTGAAGATAGGACTTACAGCTATCCTTACTGTTGTGATAAGTATTTCGCTTCATTACTTCACAACAGTATAATTTGAGTGTAGCCCTGCATGACTTAAGGTGATTTAGAATTTTATCCAGGTCATATAACGCCCAATGTTAGAGAATTACAGATCGGGTTTACAGGAATTTCAGCTTTAGTAATAAATGTTGTGGTTCATTATCACACAACAGATGATTCGAATGCTACTATGTATTAGACCAATTAAGTCTTATAAAATTTTATCGGCCTACTGTACATCATTAGAATAATTTAAAATCTCAACTAGTTCAACTAATGCATTGTAATACTTTGAAGATAGGGTTTACAACTATTCTTCCTAGAATGGTAAATGTTTTGCTTTATGATTCCAAAATATTATAATTTGAGTGCAGCACTGTATGATTAAGATGATTTAGAATTTCAACTATGCTATATAACATTTAATGTTAGAGAATTGCAGATAGAATTTACAGGAATTTCAGTTGTAGTAGCAAATATTATAGCTCATTATTCTAAAACAGCATGATTTAAATGTAGCTGTTCACTAGTCTGATTTAATTTTATTATTAGAACGATTTAAAATTTCAACTAGTTCAAATAATGTATTATGACAGAAGATAGGATTTGCAGATATTCTTACATTGCATAGTGGCAAATATTTTGCTGTATTATTCCACAATGATTTAATTCGAGTATAATACTGTATGATTGAGAATTTCAATTAGTTTACACAACATCCAATATTAGAGAATTGCAGATAGAATTTACAGATATTCCAGTTAACGTTAAAGCCCATGCGCCAATAGAATGGTTCGAATGCAGCTGTGCATAACTAGAAAAGTTTAAAATTTCAATTAGGTCAAATAACGTCCAGTAATAAAAGATTAAACATCGCTTTTGCTGATATCTCCCCTGTACTGATAAATTGAATACTCCACGATACTGTATTTGGGTGATTGTTGCATTATAAATGCTCAAAGAATCGTTTGAAATTGGGTACAATATTGAATGAATCACATTCTACTATCCCTTATTTGACTTTATTCTGTAATAAAGTAGTAAATAGTTAATGTGCTATTCCTGCTTTCACTCAAATCAACTACCTGGTGTTTTGGTACTTTGGTAGAAAAAACGGAAAACATTCCCTTCAGTACCTAGGAAACTACAGTATATGATGAATTAGCAAGAGATAGCATTACTGTGTATTGATTGCCATTAGACAGTAAGAAAAACTGTAGTGGTGAAATAGAAAGCTTCATTTCTGTAGTCTTCAGGATCGAATCGAGTCTTCTGTTGGATTAATTCGTATCAGCCATCTGTTACCTTGTAAACTGTATGTGCAGTGAACATTAGAGCTTCAGAGTTTGCATTCAAGATCAATTTATTTTCATCACTAATGAGTACAAGAATAAAGCTTTAACGACTCGGATTTATCAGTCGCCATTTTCTTGTTCTTAAAAGTAAAAAGCGTAATCCTTTTTGTGCTATTCTTTGATTCTATTCTCAGCGTTTTGATTATACCATATATCATCAATCTCTTGTTAATGTCCTTTCTTTAGGCAAGGAAAGCTCCATATTTCATTAAACTTTCCATATTTAAAGTATCATCATGAATCAAGTCATTAAAAATGGGACTGGTAACCAGAATATTATTGCATGCCTGTAGATTAGCCGATAGCTGATTGAAACTGCATCCATAGATTACTAAATAGATCATTTAGCGATGTATCATGTAGAAACTATAATGCGGTAAGGCCACATTATAATTTTGTTACTGTTGTCTGTCAAAATTAATGGATACAGTAAGTTGGCAGTGATGGGGACGTAATCCTTGCTCTTTACCTAAGGCACACAGTTTTTCGCCATATTACCGATAACATGCTGAAGCTAGGCAGCCTGGAAGAAATTCATTCTAAGGATAGCAAAAGCATACTTATAGGTATGGGTAGTCTAAATTGCTTCCTAGAGGCTCTTGTTAAACCTCCAAATAAGAGTACCCAATTTTGTATGATATCATGCTGGTGTAGTTGGGTAGTCCCATGGAGATCATAGGATAGCCGACGCTAAAATATAGTGCAACGCATCGCTGTTTAAATGTGCAAACTCATTAATGACCCCTATGGCGAGAATATATGTACAGAGCAGGAACTAAGTTTATTGCATTAAGAATTTATGTTCAGAATGGAAGATATATCTCCCTCAACCCTGATCTATTTTTATTAATTACTAGTATATCCTTTTCTCGTTATACTTCGCGTACTATACTTCTCTGTTTGGTTTGATAGCTAAATCCCTCTAGAAGATAATAACAATAACGGTGACCGTCAAATGTAGGAATGAGAATCCCACAGCAACTATTGACTAGTTTACTCTATCAAAAATTCAACAGCAGGATTGAGGATATAATCCCTCTCAATCCTGATCTTAAATTTATTAACTATGAAAAGCTAGATCACCATCGAAGACAATAAAGACGATAGAGTTTAGTGTTGTAAGAAGTTGAAATAATTACGCGTACTCTTTAAATTAGGAATGAGAACTCCGAGCAACTATTGTCTGCTGTAGTTTACTCTATCCAGAATTCAAGATCAGGATTGCGCATATACGCGTAATTACCTTTAATCCGATCTTGGATTTTATATTGTAGAAAGCTAGATTGCTATCGAAGATATGAAGGCGATAGAAGCTTAGTATATTTAATAAGGTAAAAGCGCTTGCCCTCCAAATGTGGCAGTAAGAACCCTGAGGAACTAGTTTTAACCCAATTGCTACATAGAATAGTATGCGCATACAGTTGAATTCTCGCATTCGCATCATCCATAAAACTGATTAATCCTCTTTTTAAAATAATTAAATCCTATCAGATATAGGTATGATCCTCAAGAAGTCTACGTAGAATTCACTTGAACTGTCTTAACTAGGATATCTCAAATTGACCAGTAATTCAATAAAAATGGAATGTAGTCAAAGAAAGATAAGTGATAGCTGATAACTGTTAATGACAGTCATGATCCAGTGATCGTTAATAACCATATTAATGGTATATCGCAGGCCAAAGTACGCATATTAACTAGTCGACAGCATTTGGATTGGAGATACCTTAACCAAAGCCAGGATATCTCAGGCCCACTAGTAGATCAATGAAAATAGAATTTGTAGCCAAAAGAGGTATGTAGTTAATAGCTGCTAATTGCGAGTCAATGATAAACGCTGGTCTTTCGTATGACTACGAACAGTTAAAATCCGATGATCGTTAATAATAATTAATTAATATAACCGCAACTATGACCTATCACAGGCGAAATTAGCCGTATCAACGAGTTGACAGCGGTTGAATTGGAGATATCTTAACCAAAGACTAGGGTATCGCAAATCGACTAGTAACTCAATAAGAATGAAATCTAAAGCCATAAAAAGCGTATGGTTAATGGCTGCTAATTGTAAATTAATGATAAACGCCGGTCTATCGTATTACTAATGACAGTCGCAATCTGATAATCGCCAGTAATAATAATAACATCAATTATGGCCTAGCGCAGGCGAAAATAAGAGTATCAACAAATCGGCAGCAGTTGGATTTTAGAAATATCTTAACCTTAATTAATCAAGGCGTAGTGAATGACGCTTTTAAAATCTGCATACTTATATGTAGTTAAATTAATTTGTAGTAGTATAGCCATAATACAACTAATTGGACATATATCCATATATATATATATATATACGTATACTTATACATAATTAATAAGTAGTAATTTCGTCAAACTAAGATGTAGTATTGTAGCCTAGCATGGTATCATATAGATTAATATGTATTTAGATATAGGATATCGAGATGTATATTCTTTACAGCGTGAAATTGGATGCAATAAGTTGGATAGTGCAGTAATTGGATACTTAACCAGTTTAATAAAGTTGGGCTCATACACAACATCACGACCAGGGTATCTCAAGTCCACCACGAATTCCATGTAAACAGAATTTATAGCCAAAGAAGACACGCAGGTAATAGCTGCTAATGACAGTCAGAATCGGTCGCTAATAAGTGCAATCATGACATATCGCGCGAAAGTACGCGTATCAATGGGTCGATAGCGGTTGAATTATAGATATCTTAACCAAGAACTAGGGTATCTTAAATCGATCAGTAATTCAAACGAAAATGGAACCTACAATATAGCTACGGGAAGGCAAGTAGCTAATAGCTGTTAATAACACCCCAAATTTGTCGCTAATAACTTCAATCATAGCATATCGCACGAAAGTACAGGTATCAACGAGTCGACCGCGACTGGATTGGAGATGTCTTATCCAAGGACCAGGGTATCTCAACTCGACTAGTACTTTAATGAAAATGGAATGTATAGCTATGGGAAGGCATGTAGTTAATGGCTGCTAATGACAGTTTATTCCTCAGAACAGCTAAACAATAAGTGATTTGGAATAATTATCCATCGCTATAATACGGCCAGCGATCAACAATAACACATTAACATCTTACATGACAAAAGAATAATTATATTATTCTATTCTACTCACCATTGATTCTTTAATTTGAATCTAAATCCATTTTATCCGTGGTGAACTTACCCCTTCGCATTTTAAACAACTTAAACAAAGGATGGCAACTTTTGAATAGCCATAAAGTAACATTGAAAACAATCGATGTTGAACCTATTGAATGGAGTATGCGGCCTTGTGTTGAAAAAGAAATGAAGAAATTGAATCCATGGTTGAAAATAAAAATTGCCGTAGTATAAATTTGAATCCATTGACCTATTAAATTATTCAACAGCTTGGAAGATGATGATATTTCCCTGTTAATTAAAAATCAACAGGGGAAAGGATAATAATTAATCCTTTCCATTTTCCAGTACTGATCGTCTTGGCTGGGGTCATCTTGAGCTAACAAGGACTATCTTGCTGAGCATAACCTGCATTGGACCATCTATTACTTCATCTCCTTAGCATCATACTCCATCATCTCAACAAGATTGATTTTAAATCAACATTTCAATTTGTTGTTGCTTTAATCCATTTGATCCACTTGTATCCCGTTGAAAGTCATTTTCAATACTGTCACAACAGACATTATTTTAAAATAAACTGACTATTGACCAACGACTATATCCTATCGAGTGTCAACAGTAGTCGTTGAATACTAGTCTCCATTTATTGATTATATCTTGTTATTGTCATGGCGATTGTATTCTTGACAGTTTGTTCAATCTTAACCTATACAAATTTGACCAAAAGATATCCATGCAATAGGTCGCTGTTGAATAGTTATCCAATTAATAGTACAACGCATTACGGCTACTCTCCAGTACACTATCTAAATACAAACCGATCGACAACAATCTATCAATAGCCGTTGCTAAGTTATTTTTTTTGATGTAATACCTTTTTGTCTCCATGTTGATGAAGAGAAAAAGAACATGCAAACATCATAGTCATCAACCAATTTTCTACCCTCTATTACTGAACAAGGAGTCTAGATATGTTACTTTTCTATATACAAAAATAGTAGTAGAGTTATCATTATTGATGACGTTTTCTGTTTTTTTGATATACTCCTCTAAATTGATTGCTTACACTCTGACTAGTGATGGCAACCTGGTAAAGGGAGATATTTATAGAAGTGAGAGAAGGACAGAAAGAGAGAGAGTCTACGAGTGTGTATAAGTAAGCATCAATAAATAATAAGATCGACTATAAGGTGTGGAACATAACGGTTGATTTCATCATTATATGATAGATTTTCAATCGGAGATTGCTTTCTAGACTATCATCATTATCCTCTGTTGTTGATTGATAACTTTGGATATTGATTCTTGATTCATGGATATGGTTCACTTTGTCTAATAACAAACGTTACCATTACAGAAAGACAGAGAAAAAGTTACCAATCGATCCAGCTAGGTTGTTATACAAGAGTATATTCATCTTCAATTGATTTCCTACAACGATAACATCGGTAAAATTCTTTCTTGACTATATATTTTCTTCATTTTTCAAAGTTGCTTCAATTTTTTCCTCATCCTATTTGCAATAGGTAGACATCGATTATTGACATTATTTTTCTCCTTAAACGGAATCTTTTTATGTTATCCTATCAGTTTAATCTCCAACGTTATTTCCCTCTTCTAGCTTAATTGATGATAGGGTAGAAGCCCTCTAACATAGATATTATTTTCCGTCCTCGAATTTAAGTTTTCATACTGTAAAATGTATTTTGTCTTCGACGTCATTTTCTGTCTTCCAATTTCATCTTTTATGCTGTAGAAAGCGTTATTTCTTCCGCATTGTGTTCCGTCATCAAGTTCAATATTTCATGTTATTGATTGTACTATTTCTTCTACGTCATTTTCCATCCTCCATTCCAATCTTCCATGCAGTTGAATGCCTTATTTCTTCCATATTATTTTTTATTCTCCAACCTAATCTTTCATGTTATAGCATGCATTATCTTCTATATCACTTTCCGTCCTCTTACTTAATCTATCATACTAGAGTGTTATGTCTTCTGCATAATTTTCCGTTCTCTAATCCAACTGTAAGATGCTTTCGATCTTCCGCTCAATTTTCCTGTAGCAAGTAAATCTTTCAAACACCAATATTTGATCTCCGTTATTTCCCTCCTTTGAAAGTTCAACGTCGCAATTTTGTTAAAATGATGCAATTTAAATAACATCAAAGTAAGTTGTCAAGGATGTCCTAGTCATATCCTTAAATCGCTATCAGAATCACCATAAGGGTGGTGTTCATTTCTTCATGAGCCACGATTAATATAAAAATATGACAATCAATATCTCATTTAATTATAATAAATTAAACATTTCATGATGGAAATTGCTTGATTTACTTTATTGTCGCTACTTACCAAATTTTTCTAAGAGTTGATACAGGCTAACATACAAAGTGCACATAGATAATGAGATATTATTGAGTGTTAATTTATATTCTTAAAATTTACAACAATCATTTTGAAACAATTTACTAGCCATACTTTATTTCTTGACTGCAAACTCAAAATAGGATCCCATAGTACATCATCTACTCTTACCTGTCAAAATATTAATGTTAAATTTTCTTAATAGCTAAATCGCCATACTTCATTTCTTAACTACATGCTTAAAATAGAATTCTGAAGTACATTATAAACATTTACCCGTCGAAATCTCCATGCTTAATTTTTATAGTAACTTACTAGCCATACTTTATTTCTTAACTTAAAATAAGATCTTGTAGTATATTATAAACTCTTGTCTTACCCATTAAAGTTCTAATTATTCTTTAAACTATCATTGGATGCATTTGGATACTTTCCTTTCAATGTACAATTATTCTATTTCGGTGGTAGACGGTTTAATTTTTTCACCATAATGACTCAAATGGTAAAGATCAATTATAGTTCTGATTTCAATGATTATTTATTTTAACCTACAGGCTATCGTATCCTGGAATTATAAAACAATTTTTAAAAGGTTCACTTAGACTATAAAAGAAATTGGTCTATCAACGATTTTACTTGGTTGAACTCTAAAAAAATTGAGTTACTCGTTTCTACTCGTACATGATCGACGTTATCCATATTAAGTAAGAGAGATTTTAACCTAGCTCAAGGCCATAAAGAAATTACTAAACTAAAAATAAAATTGTCTCAAAATCTATCTAAACGGTATTTATGAAATGATATGGTGGATAACCATTTCAATATAGTCCTATAAGTATTTTTGACCAGGAATGATCAAGTCTAAAGAAAGGCATCGTTTGTAATTTGTAAATGGTGGTAAAGTCATTTGGAGCAAGAAAAAGAACTTTATTCCTTAATATTCGTCACAACGTATAAATATCGAGTTATTCTAGTTGGCAGCAATATTTATTTGCTGATTAAATTCTTTCCAGCTTTCCTCCTATTTACAATCATTTTTTCTCGCTCTTAATTTGATATCAATTTAACTTGTATAATGGGTTGTGGACCATCTCATCCTAACACGGTAAATCGCAAAGCCAATGTTAAAGTACCATCCAAAGGCAGTGAAAATGTCGTATTTAGTAAGTCTATCGCCAATAATTCTCTCTTCGTAATATCATTCTACTTTTGCACGTATAGCTGAAAAATTTAATCTGTTCCTAGCTTGTTATTTTCTTTCTTCTGTAATATCTTTCATTTATTCTTACTTTACCAGATCAATTCCACTGTAGAACTGCTCTAAGCTAAAATATTTACTTGCATTTTTCTTGTGAAATTAACACTGCTTTAACGTCATAAAGTGCCATCTTGATTATGTAATATAATATCATTGGGAAAATGGGCAAGACTACAAGTATTAGAATGTCAAATCAAATTATAATTTTCCTTTTGATAGGAGCTAATGAACTCAAATTTTCTCGTGCTTTCAGAACTATAGTATAATAACTTAGAGTCAAAATTGAAAAATTGAATAAGCATTGCAATCTTAAAACTGCATGTAGTTTATTTTGATGGACTAGGTAGATCATCTCTAATATGTCCAATAAGTAGGAAATATTCTAAGTCATGTATTTGCTTAAGCAAGAGATAGAGTTCAATTTCTTGTAATTAGCTTACTAATTAGTGAGTTACGAGTTCAATTAAAAAAATTTCTTTTCTTATAATTGAATTTATACATCTGGTTAAAGCTAGCGTTGGAATATCTAGCTAAACTCCCTTCTTACTCATTCGCTATACCGTGAACTTATAACTATAATATTCTGCTTTCAATCTATTCCTTGACATATCTGTTGTAGTATTAGCGTGGATATACAAGACGGTAAATGAATCTCTTCCACTCGACTGCTTATCCTGCTTCTTTAGGAAGAGTTTATAAATTAAAATTAATTTCTTCTTATTAGATCATTTATTCATCACCGCGCTGGTTGATTTGTGGAATTTAATCTCTATTTATAAGATTTTAAACATTTTATGGCCTTTGTTGCTATGCTAAAGTTATTGTCAATTTCAGTCAATTTTCACTCATCCATTACAACTTAGGCTGATCAACGCAACTTAATCGCTTCTTGCTAGCTTTACTCATAGGTTTTACGTAAACTCGAGTGTTTAACGCTCAATTTTACAGCATAGAAGCATTTATAAATGCTAGTCAAATCAGTCAGAAATTTTTTTCCACTGGCCAACAATATCATCTGTTTTATTAACCCCGTCAAAAAATAATATTTGGTTTTTGAAATTTTACTGTACAGACTGTTATGAAGGCAAAGAATAATATATATCGATGTTACTATTAGTAACTTTCATACACCTTGGTTACTTTAGTCTTCCTTATAATTAAAATGGAGAGAAAAAAGAATAGAGCTATCAAATAACAATAATATAGTTGATTTTACCATTAATTTTACAATTAAAAGAGTAGCAAAGCATTTCTTTTGCTATTATTACTATACAGTTATCGATACGAAGCATAGTCTGCAGATTTTAGATGAAGAGATCGATTTTTAGTTAGATTTTAAGCTAAAAAAGGTTAAATAAATGGCTCTTTAGCGATATCAAAGCATTTTTCAGCTAGCATCAAATAAATTTCTACGGCATACCTAAAGCTAGAATCATCTACTTAGTTAGCTAATGCCAAACCGTAATTTCCCTGCAGTAGGCTACATGATTTTATTCGCGTATATCCCTGGTATTTACGATATGGATACCTTTGAAATTGACCAGGTTTTATTCCAATAACGTATTCAGCTTCTATTCATATCATACGAATAAGAGTTGCCGTTATATTCTTTGTATTATTCAATCCTGAAGAAGCCATTTGTCCTTTCCATTATTAATTTAGACCTAAGAGAAATGAAGCTAAAACGTTTTAGCTACTGAAAATGACGACTGATGAATTGATATATACCTAGTAAAAATAGGACATTCTTTCTTTCCTATAGCGGTAAAATACAAATTGTCAACATATTTCTTGATTATACTTGCAGTTAAGCGAAGATAAAATAATGCAGCAGGTAGAACTATCAATAATGTTCTCGTACGATAACAATACGTATACTATTGAACTCATAAGTACTGTAAGCATTCCTTTATTAACAGGAAATATATTGCTGACAATTGCTCTTCCAAACATTTACTAAGTACATTTACAATTGACAACTACTCAAAACCTAAAACGTAGTATCTTAAACAATAACGTTTGTTTTAGAGTTTTTTTATATGCCAAGAAAAATTCGATTAAACATCGCTAAAGGCAGAGACAATAAGAATATGTCACTTCTATCAATTTTTTTGCGTATGTTTTATGAAGGTCATAAAAGATGAGAGTAATTTAGATGTAATAAAAACATACCGCAATAGTTAAAACTAATTTAGATAGCTGAAATGGAAGATATATCTTGTCTTTATGCATATACTCAACTTGATACCAATTATGAATAGCGTAATTCTTCACATCGCTGATCGATAAAGCATAAAATTTTAATGAAAGGTAAAATCTGTTATGGCACCGAAAGTGTTCATTATACCAATTTATGATGTACGACAGTGCTTCTTAATATTAATTATTACCGTCAATGATTTATGAATGATAATCTTGGGAAACAATCCAGCAGGCGACTAAATAAATTTTGTATTCATATACGAGTACAAGGCCGTATAGGTACATGTCACAGAGTATAATCTTAAATTTTTTTCCGCTTATTTAATAACGCATAGAAATCAAACCTAGATCATTTTTATGGTCCTCCATATTCAACATTTTTCAATTATAAGATCTATATGTGCATTATGTTGTTGATACATTATGTGCTGTATCATATACTACACACTTCTTTACACTTTATAAAAATATCCCTAAATATTAACTAGCTATGAATAATGTGACGAGGTGTAAAGTAACGTAGTCTTGACAATTCTGATCTTTAATAAGGATGCTATCAATCGACTATGGATAAATTGACGACGGTAAATAAGATTCACCTGGCTACTAAAAGAATGAAAGGATTATTGGCTAGCATGCTATAAATATATATATATATAAATAATATATTATAGGATCAAAAGTGTACTTTCGATCAACTATCGATAAATCATCAATAGTATGACGTTGTATACACATAAGCTTACGTGAAATACGCTCGTACGTATGTACATAAGCAGAATAATTTATAGCATTCACTGCATCCTGATTGTTCTTAGCAAATGATATGTATGATACAATTTCTATTATACATTACCGATTATTTACGAATAAATTATCAACAAATTATAAAAAACTGATGACGATAAACAAATGCTACATGTTACGCCATATAGTACTTATAGCCTACTATAATGGCCACTAATTTTGACCCTAAACCTAATCTTTAATAGTATTAGTACCGATAAAATTATAAACTCGTAAATCGTATTAGAGTACTATGCACATTTATATAGTTCAAAAAGTACACGCATTATGTACTTTATGGCGCTATTCCTTAATTTTATTTATTGATGGACAACATAATTACTTAATGACATGAAATAGCTGACACTCTTCAATACTCATATTTAATAACATCGATTATTAATGATCCACTATTAAAATGATAATGGTAAATAAGGACTATGTTGTCACCAAAATTATCGTATTATACAAACGCATATTTTACGTACTGCACACGCAATTGTAGCCCATAGTAATACTCCTTAATATGACACATTGATAATTGTAAATAATATCAAATTTACATGTTGGAATAGGTAAATAAGCCGGAAGCCTGAGCACTTATTCTATACTTATGATCCTATTCTTAATAACAGCTGTCGATAAAATTAGTTATCGGGATATTTTGATGAATGATTTGATAATGGTAATTTGCAGTACCATATCAGTAAAATAATTTTATATAATAATATATTGAATAATTTACGTCAGACAGCATTAGTTAATGTTATTATTTTTAGCTATCTTGTTGATAGTCGTGCCATATCAGTAATTACTTGTACGTATAGTATGTACTTACGGTGTTATATTAAGAATTTAATTGTTATAGAAATAGATAGGAAAGGGGAGGCTAGCTATACCAATTTACTTTATAAATAATCATTAAATGAAAATGGACAATATTTTCTTCAGGGTAGCTAATTGTATATAAATAGAATATGACGCTAATTACGATCTGATAATTAATTTGCTTGTTGTAACGAATTAATTCAGTTTTGGCGTTAATCGATTTTAAAAAATCTAATTTTCTTTTTCAATATCGGTTAATCAAATTATATGATTTAACGATTAGAATTGAGAATTAACTTTTGCATTAGTATACAGAATTAAAAAAATCGAGGACAAGCTAAAAGCGATATAATTAATTTTCATTTTCTTTCGTTAGATAACAACAATTGGGTGTGTAAAGACACAAGTATAACCGTTAAATCAGCAATTCTTATTCAAAATTGGTTCCGTCGTTATAAAGCTAGGCTAGAAGCAAGGAAAAGATGCACCTGGTCTATATTTCAACAAATTGAATTTGCTGGAGAACAAGATCAGCTAAAAGTATATCTTCAATTTATTTGATTTTTCTTCCTTATATCTGTCTGTAAGCCTTTAACCTAATCCATATTAATACTGTCATATTGAACTTCTTTTATTAATTTATCTCCTATTTCTTTATGATCATAATATCAATAATACATAATCAGTTTTAATTACCGTTGTTCATACGTTTATTGGTCTGAAAGCAGTCGCTATAATAACAAAATTGTTAGTAGAAATATTATGTTATCTATATTAAATTTGGGATTTTCTGTGCCACAGAGCATAAAATTAGGCAAACATTTACATTTTTAAGTCATTGGATAAGGTACTATCGTTAGGTGATTTTTTTAACTTTTAATTTTTCTGAATTTAAATTAAACAGATAAAGACAGAATATGTAGTAAAATTAATTCGTCATTTCGTTATGAGCAGGGTGAATTTCTCGCAAATCCAGTTTATTTGCTATACGGTACCTACGGTATATCTCAGATACTGTAAAAATACTGCCAATTATTTGAAAGACATCGATGAAATGAACGTATTTCATTATTTTTCAAACTTGTTGAGAAAATTTAAGAAGCAGAAGCAACCTGATCGGGTTAACATTAAGTAAATTGCTGTAGGCAGAAGTGATACTTAAATTTTAAGAGAAAATTGTAGTATTAGCCTAATCTATAATTTCGACTCAAGTAGTTTATTGCCTGTAATTTTAAGTGGTCCTTATGAGTTATTGAATCATGCGGAGGCAAATATTATATTTTCAGATTTCACGGGTTTTTATTTCAAATTTATTGCAATTTTATTTTGAATAAGTAATTGAAAAGTTAATATTAAAGAAATTTACTGTATTTTAAGTAGAGTGCTATAATTTATACAGTAATGCTCACGGCATCAATAATCTAAGGGTTCATACAATGTTTTTAATATTATTTGTAAGTTTACGCTTCTATACTGACCTCGATTACAATTAGTGCTAGAAATAGATGCAATTTACCAGACCTTTATTAATATTTTACATAAAAAATTAGTCATAAACACAAGCGGCTATACATATGCATCATTATTTGGTCCTAGCTTTTATAATGAAATCTGCAATCTCATTTCATATTTGGGATGACATTTTATCGTTGTTGCTTGTTTCCATTCAGAGTACATTACGGCAATCCGTGTCATTCATTTCTTCAATTCCTATTTTGATTATTTTAATGAATTATATCTCTTATTATAGCAAATTAATGCTGATTTAATATTTACTTTATGTTATAGCTTTACAATTTCTTCAATGGTATGATTGACCAGGTTAAGATTAGTAGTAAGTATCCTACTTTGTACTTATCGGTCGCCCATCGTAAATTATTGTTTGCAATGGATCTTTCAAGGTCTAAACAATACATTATTTAGCACCTGTGATAGTATAACAAAAATTTACTCTCAGAGCTAATTCTGTGAACTAGTATCAACGATACTATAATTATTCTAAAACAATTAAATTTGTGTGATTATATTTCCACCATAGTAACTAAAAAGCTAAAAAATATTTTGTGAAAACAGTACTAATTTTCTTTTATATGACATTTAAAGATGCTAACATAACCAAGGGTAGAAGGTCCTCGTCCATTGCAAATGTTCTTGCTCCTATTTGTAAGTAGAGAGTCACGGTATCATGACTCAAGATCTATTTAAATCGAAGAAAGTAATGGATATGAAACAATGATATTACTACTGCGTGTGTATTCGCTATTTACAAAGCAGATCATTGAGTTTAGTATAGCTAATTTTACATTATTATAATAAAATTTGGCCTTTTTAAATCACATTTTCCTAGCTAATTCATATCTGGAAGAAGAAGCTCAATTAGTGCAAGCTACTGATCCAGATTCAGTTATCATTAATAAGGCATATCAAGGGCCGCATATTAATATGCCTATAACCTTAGATCAAGTCAAAGAATTGATTGAGGCATTTTCTCAAGACAAGGTAGGCAATTTTTTACGAAAGAATCTATTTAAATTTCTATATTCCGTCAGCTTTATAATTCAACGATTAATAAATATTATCTGATAAGTGTTTTAATATTCGATTTTGCTACTATAATACATGATAATTATAAAAGCAATATATAGTGCTGTAAGATAAAATCAAATGCGATTGAAAAAATACAGACATTTCCCTCAAATCTAAGTACTAACTCAGCTGTAGACTCTAACTACAGTTTTAGAGTATTTCTGTCACTAAATTCACTACTGACTTTAGAAGCTGAGCCACTACTAGAAATTAGTTTTGTCGATCTATAATTAATATAATTACTTATTATATCGTTCTATGATATTTCTTGTAGTTCTAACATGATTAATGAGTAATATATTAAAGGCTTATCAACATCTATATATACTAGATGATTTCTTAGTATTGATAAAATAATTAGTGTTGACTAAAGGATGCAGCTAATATTCTTGAATTCGTGATTCTTAATAATGGAGCATTTTAATTTTAAATCATTACTGCTTGTTCTTTATCGTCAAGATCCTGCATGCAAAGTATCTTTTAGAGATACTCCATGAAGCAAGGCGAACATTAAAACTAATGCCAAATGTATCCCAGGCTTCAACAGTATCTGCTAAGAGGATTACGATATGCGGTAATTCAATATAGACTATTAAAAATTTTGAACAATGTACTGAATATTCTTTAGAAATAAAATTTATAGACTTGAGAATATTGATAGATTGTGCTTATACTCTTTATAGATACTTTATTTCTTCAGTTTTAATGTTTATAAAACAATTTTCTGCCTTTTTAGGAGATCTCCACGGAAAAATTGATGACCTTTTACTCATATTCTATAAGGTTAACCGACGTTTGACAAATTTTAGAAAAATAAAAACTCAATTTGTAAATATGGAAAATAATTCAAATTGTAATTACAAGTATTAACGTAAAGTTTTTAAATTACTTTTAGAATGGTTTGCCATCGTATGATAACCCTTATATATTTAACGGAGATTTTGTCGATCGTGGAGAAAAATCAGTCGAGATCGCTATTTTACTATTATGCTTTTTCCTACTATATCCTAACGAAACTTATATTAATCGAGGAAACCATGAAGACCATATCATGAATATCAGGCAAGCTTGCAAAATTATTATACTCTTCTTTTCAGATCTTTGATTCAGGATACACTTAAAACTCAATAATACTTCTATCTGTGATAATCCCGAACTTCCATGCTATCTTAATCATGTAGGTATGGATTCCTGAAAGAAGTCATTAGTAAATATAAAGTATGTGATGAAAATATTAAATTAATCATATTTGCAATAGTTCACATTATCACAATATTTTATTATATTTTTATCATATAATTACAGTATATGGTTTTTAAAAGAAATTATACAATAGCAGAATGATACGCTCATTACTTAAAATAAAGTGATGATTCTTTTAGATTGTCCTTTTACCAATAATAGAAGCATTCTGTTGCATAATTACATAATTCTATTACATAATTTCACCTCGCAATTAACCCAAATGAATGCTACATTGATTGTGATTAATAATATGTAAAACTTTCTATTTTGTTATTTATCGCTGGCATAGCAATGATTACAGTATATTAAACTTAGATACTAGTATATATTTAGGTGCGTAATATTGCTAATAAATATGTAAATCAATGTTATCATGGAAAAATTCGATATTTTTCTTATACATTGTTACATGTTTTTCTTTCAACTTTGTAGCGAAATGCATCTAAAGTAGTGAAAATGTTTGAAGACGTTTTTAGCTGGCTACCCTTAGCCACAATTATTGACAATAAAATATTTGTCACTCACGGTGGAATTTCTGATCAAACTGATGTCCATTACTTGAATGTCATTGATAGACATAAGGTACGGCATAAATTTACTAGTTTTAGAAAATGATATTTACGCTTACAATAAAGGCACACTGCAGTTCCGCAATAATCCATTACAATCTTAATTATTATTCTAGTATATATCTGTATTGAGGCCCTCATTGCTAGATGAAGAAGATGGTGAAGAAAAGATTGATCTTACTGAGTGGCGACAGGTGCATTTTTCAATCTTATAACTTAGCATGTAATATAAACTATATCATTACTAGAGCAAGATTCGTGTACTTTAACCTAAGTTATCTAATCTTAGTGTAATTAAAAATGCAAACTAAACAAGCTAACGTCTAGTATTTAAATATTTATCGTGTTAGGAAATGCAATAATATGAATGATTTTCTCTAAATTAATTATTGGTATAGGTCTTGGACGTTCTTTGGAGTGATCCTAAAAATGCTAATGGTTGCAAACCGAATGAATATCGCGGCGGTGGCAGTTATTTCGGACCAGATGTAACTCGTAATTTCCTCAGTAAGCATAATTTTAACCTAATTATTCGCTCACATGAATGCAAGATCGAGGGATGGGAATATATGCATTATGATAAGGTAAAATATTATTAATGTATAATGTAAAGAGAAATCTGATGGAAGTATTGCGTCATTTACAATATACGAGTAGATATAGTAGCATTTGGCTTGTTATATTTGCGAGTAAGATTATTTAATTTGATTTTTCTTCTTCAACGTAGGTATTGACAGTATTTTCGGCCTCCAATTACTATTCCCCGGGTAGTAATAAAGGCGCATATTTAAAATTAAATGACAAGCATGAGATCGAATGTCTACAATTCATGTCCGATACCAATTATGGAAATAAAAATTTATCCATGCGTGAAAAGTGAGTTGAAAGTGATTAGCAATGGACAGGGTGTTTATTGATTGTATTAATGCATAGAAATGTATTAAGGTTACTTGAGAATATAAGTTTGTGATTTTAAGCAGTTATATTATCCTTACATGCAATTTTTCATTGATTGCTTGAATAACTTTAGAATGGGAATTATTGAGGAATCGGCATTACGTGAAATACAGAGCAAGTTCCATTCTCATAGGATGGCTTTAGAGGCTGAATTTAAAGCCATAGATACAGAGGAAACGGGTTAGCTTACATTAGTTATTATTATTTCGCGTTTCTTCCCTAAATAATTTAAAAAATTCCGTGGCAATAGCGACCTTTAATAATTAATAGTTACCCTTTATGACAAGATTTTGAAAGCAACTGCACTACATAAATATTTTAAATGTATCTATAAAAAATTGATAAAATTTACTTCATAACGTTGATAGTTTGCCTAATTAAGCAACACTAATTATTACGTTTATCTATTATATAGGTTGCATTACCATAGATCAATGGATTCGCTGTTTAGTTAATGTACTAGAATTAGAATTACCCTGGCGTCGAATAAAACACCAAATTGTTAATATAACTGCCGATGGAATGGTCCAGTATCATTCGTGTTTCGATAAGTTTTCACTACAATCAGCTCTTAAATCGGTATGACCGATTGTGTATAAATAAATTGTTTGCTAATATTAAAAATCGTAAATTACATATTTCAGTTATTAATAAATAAGAGTAAAGGTCTTGATAATATACTAGTGATAGTTTTCCTAAGAACTGCAAAAGGTCATGATGGTAAATTGATATTTTTTTGTGCCAATATCAGTCACCTAATGGACATTATCTACCGAATTTTTATCGATTATAGAAAGGACCAACAGTAACCGAAACTCTTTATAAGCATAAAAATAGTTTAGAAACAATCTTTAGAATAATCGATAAAGATAATTCAGGTTTGTAATGCTCGAAATATGCGAAATTCTAAATTAAAGGCATGCCATATAAATTCCTAATGCATAATAGTAATTATAACAGTCGAATTCGTTATTAATTTAGTAGCTAGAGAAGTTGTTACGCTGTATCATATAAGCTTTAATTAGATAGAGAAAGATAAATGATTCAATTTACCATTATTAGCTATATAAACATGATTAATTATTTTAGACCTTAGAGGAACGATTTCTTAAAGCTGTTAATTTAAGTGTGTACTATAATAATAAGTGCAGTTCCTTAAAAAGAAATAATGCAATAGTTAGCACTAACAAAATAGCTATGCTCGAATTAATTACATTATTATTGTATATCCTCACTCGCAAACTAAAGGATTGATTTCCATGGAAGAATTCCAAGATTCTTGTTTACTATTAGATGATCATGTTAAATCTTTCATGTCAAAAGAAGATATTCATAACTTGGCTAAATCAATCGATTTCAATAACGATGGACATATTGATTTCAACGAATTTTTAGAAGCTTTTCGATTGGTTAGCAAAGAGCAAGAAAATGATAATTACAGCTTAAATGGAGTCAGTGATAATCAAGTCTAAGGATTAGATCCAAACTGTGATGACGGTTGAAACAGTGATAGCTGTTTCACTTAGTGTAATATAATGTATGGTATATGTTTTTTGGAAACTGGAAGTTAATGTACGCACTAAAATATCAGATACATCTAGTTGATTTACTTGCTTTAAAATTATTTTTATACTTAGTTTTAATAAACTGTATGTTCATCTACTTGCGACATAAAACTTGTATCATGGAAAAGAAATTTTCTAATGTTATTTTAAGATTAATTGCCTATTATATGAATTTCGCGTTAACTCGAAATTAGGCTATATTGTAAATTATGAAGATTTACATATTTGTTCGGTTAAAAAATTCCATTCAGCTCAGCTAAATTGTACTGCAGTTCCTTATAGTGGAACAGAACTTCTATATAATATTTTTAAAATGAAAACAATAAAAAAACTCACTAGTAACTACCGTAACTAATAATTGCGCTGTATAGTTTATACTTATCCTTCCGTGTATCCTATTCTGATTTTATGATAAAGAAAGGATTTTTTGTTGTATAAAGATTCATGTTCTTTTTCTTCGGCTTTACTTCTGTGATTAATTACAAAAATAAGGCTATAAATTATTATTGATTACCATAACAATCATATTCTATCCAGTTTAATGTGTACTATTTATCCGGTATAACTATCTTACGTTGTTGTGATGGCCATATTCGTTCAGCAATATCTGAGTCAATTTCGATATTTTCAACATGTATTGTCCTTCAAGGTCGTTTATTTTTTAATGCTTCTTTTCTTCATGCTAATACGACTAGGAGAGCTGTTATTTCGGCATTACTTTATATTACTATCCTCTTTTTAGATGCCTTTCAAATATGGTGAATATCTACATGGATATTTGATGAACGTAGAGTTAGCGCGAATACATGTTACATTTTCAAAATAAGGGTTCTCATAACAACATTGATTATATCATTGTTTATAAGTCAATTTTTTTTCCTTTTCCTGTTAAGTGAACGCCAGACTAGAGTATTTGTTCCATATGATGATTTATCATAAACCAGTTAATATCAGACTATCTTCCGGTCATTAACGTATGCCATTTTTTTCGGCAATAGTCAAGTATGCCTGTCTAATCAATTATTATTATTTACTAATGATCTAAAATTCCTTTCTAATCTTCTGTAGCTATAACATTCCGTTGATAAATACCAATAATGATGACGCACATGAAGCATATTTAATTCATGTAACTGTTAATTATGACGACTATTATATTATGGTACGTGCTTGCAAGTTCCTTGATTTTGATATTGACTATGCCTCCGGCTTAAGAATTCACAGTTATAATGATAATATTACATAAAATGTATATTACTTGCAATCTTACCGTTTTAAAAATTCTGTAGCAGTCATTATGTGTCATGTTAACGATAAATTCTTATTTGTATCAAACATTTGTATCGCTCAATTGCTTAGCTAATTATTATTCAATAATTAATCTATCTCTATTTTATCAAATTGCTTGTAAAGTATACACCTATTTGATGTGTGTATAGATGCTTGCCCCTAAATGTGTATACTATATACCTATATATTTGATATATATGGAGAAAGGTATATATCTACATATATATATGTGCGTATACAGAGAGAGTGCGTATATCTGCGTATGTAAGAGCGAGAAAGCAACATAAATATGACACTTGTCCTGCTGTTTGATCATAGAAAGATGGAAATTTTATTTTTCTTACTTTTTGCTTCCTGTTACTGTTAATTGTGCTATTTTTTATTTTACATGTAGCTTAATATTTGCTTTAATCTTAATGATCAATAAAGATTTGATTTCACTATCAATACACATTAGGCGTATTTATTAATCTGATCATCACATTACGTAAATGTACATTTATTCGACAATAAATAAACTTTGTATTGCCTGACTTCATATGCTAGTACCTTAATCTGTATATTGCCAACTGACACTCGTAAACTGCAGAATTACCTTGGCATGATTTCATCCCGAAGTTTGTAAATGTACGCGATTCTAGATTTACGTGGTGAAATTTTCAAAGTTATTGTAGCAAAATAATGTTACGTGCTATACTGGCATATTGATACTCTATATCAGATATACTCGGCTATTTTTTCTCGCTCAGTGCGAAAATGAAAGCATACACTATCTATTGGCTAACAACCTTATTTCAGTATACTTAATTTTGCCTGATTTGCTGTTAGTTTACAAAAGGCATTAAATTATCAAGATCATTATAAGACTGTTCAAAACGGAATTACTGTATAATGCAGTTTATGTTACGTTTGCTATAATAAGAGTTCTACTGATGATATTTGTATGAGCGATCAAAATGATTAACATTAATAACTTCGACAATAACATAAATAATGCGTTATGATCAGTATATTTTAGCAATTTATTAGTAGGCCATTAAATAAGATTTATAAAAAATACCTAAAGTCCGGCCTACATACAGCAAAATTTAACCCTTTCTCCTCAATATAGCTTACATGGACATCACACTTATACAGAAAGAGAGATAATTCGATACAAGTTTGTGCCTTTATTTAATATTCACGTTGTTTGGAACATGTATTGAAATTTTAGGGCGAAAAATTCGAATTCAATGCAGTATATTTTAACAATAGAATATTTTTAAAGCGATAAAATCTTTTTTAACAAATAACACTTTGTTAAGCTATTCCTATCCTTTAACGGACATAATCGAACGGATAATAAATTACAGTGCTAACATATTCGTTTCAAGCCTCCATCATTCAAGAAGCATCAGTGCTTTCACATATATTCTTCAATATTACACCATGTATGTATATAGCGATTACAATTAATATCGTAAGTGGCAATTTAATAAGAAATTTGACGTAGACAGAGTACGATGAAGCTGAAAATTTTTTAACGTTCGATATCGGGTAAAAAATGAGCTTTATACTTCCAGAGAAAAGCAATATAAATTGAGTCAGTTTTCTCTTCAGAACGATAATCGAAAATGCGACTTATAACGTAATCTATAATTGTTTACAATACGACTGAGCTGTAGTTCAAGCATAGTGTGATCTAGTAACAATATCATCAAACTCATACCAAAAATTTAACGTAAATGAATTTATTAAGAAATACGTAAGATGCTTTGCTTTTCGGGTTGATTTCATTGCCAATATTTACGCAATGATAAGCACTAATTTGACTAAAATTTTTCATGTTATGTCAATACAGTCACTATTCGATGAGGACAAGCCAATTATTAATCGTGTAGGGCAAATAGCTTACTCGCTTTCAAGTCTCATTATCCTCTAGCAGGGTTCTTAATACCTGCAGCTACAAACACTTCATTGATTGTTCTTTCGAAACAGTCTCTAAGATCTTTATAACTAACCACTAAGACTGATTTTTCATCACGCGATGACAAACATATTCGATCCTGGCTACCAACATCCAGCTATTAATGTAGAAAGAATAATTTTCAATTGTGAGCAATAAAGAAATCTTTATACTGGAATTAGTGCCGATGAAAATCACCTTGTTCAAGCATTGAATCATATGAGCCATATCAATCCAAGGCGATCCATCTTGCTTAACTTGATGGAATATATAATCTCTAAACAGTTTTAGTAAATATCTATCTCCAGTTTCCGACCAATCGCCATCTAGAAAAAATCTAATAAAAGTGAACACAATATAAATGATATTAAATGTAGTATACTCAGCAAGGGAAAAATTGAAGTATACATCTTATATAGACGAGTATATGACACTATTAATAATTCACTAAAGCGTAATACTGTATCTTACTCGGGCCTGTCGTTAACAATTCCTAATTTGAGGAGAAGTCTTACTAAGCGATCATTCTCAAGTTCCTGTAATGGGATTTAGATTAATACACAATGATGCATCAAGTTAAAATTAACTAAATCAATATTAATAAGAAAAAATACGTGTAATTACATTCTCCAGTTCAACCTCCAAGATATCATTTTCAAAATAGAGGTCATTAATATGGGTATAAAATCGTGCCCCAATCAAAGGCATTACGTCGTTAACGCTCTTGATTTTGTGTACAACTTGTGGCATATGCTGTTGGCAAGTCAACAGACCACTAATAGATAGAAAAGAGTCGCTCAATTGATGGAATTAACTTAATTAAGCACTGAAAAATGACTACAGATTATCGTTGCTTTTAAGTCATCATTACAATATTAAATCTCTTAAATCGGAAGAATAGTTATTAGCCACAAAGTCTAACGATTGTGAATAATTTTCTGGGTCTAATGCTGCCAGGGAGCGGCAAGCGAGTGCTAACAAGAGTCGACCGAGTGATGTTAAATCTGTCATCTGCAATACGTAAAATCAGTAGTGATTGAATTGCAAAGTTAATGGTGTATAAGATTTTTATTGTTTACCTGACGTGAAGCAATTGCACTTCGGTTTAGGCTGTCGTTCCCTAAAATGTCTAAAATGCCTACGCCATTAATTCTTAGTCTAAATCAATAGAGAGAATAAGATGCGAATGTAAAATACTTGTTAAAGGAAAGCGTCGAATTACGCGTATGAATGATGTAAATAATAAGAAAATACAGACTTTCAAAGCAGTCGAGATTTTTTCTTACCTGGAGCGACTTGCAACTAAAACTTTAGTAACGTTTAAAATTTGGCATGCTAAGCCAGCAACATGGATTAGTCGTAATGCTGAAGTTAACTGGATTACATATTTCCAAATAATATTTTCATCAAGGAATTCAATGTTATTTCGGGCCATATTTACATCAGCTCTAAGTACACCGTCTTCACCAATAGTATATGATTGCTTTGTAGTATCAAAATAATGCGATTGCATGGTTTCATTTGCAGGATAGTAATCGTATATAGCAATCAGTGCTGGGTGATTATTTTTAAATCAACGATAATAATATATTAGATTAACAGGTGATATCGAAATTACTATTCAAATTAAATACGTAAAATTTACAAATTACAATTATCTCCGAAAGCTTTGGTGGTAAATACTTCATGAAGTTGTACGATTCCGCTATGTTTAATTTTCTTCCATTTATTAATAACTTCCAATGATGTCGATTGTGATGCGCGGAAGCCTACATTGTTAAATAATTTTAAAAGTAAGCAATAAACGAATAATCCATGCATGAATGGTAAAGTCATTATTATTGTTGTTATACACTACCAATAACACGCCGCAGTAGATAGGTTTGACCATTGTGAGAATTAATAGCTTTGAAGCAAATAGTTCTATATCCAAAATTGGAAGATATCCCATCTTGCTGATTCATTTCCAGTGGATACAACGAATTATAGTGCTTGACTTCGCGAGGTAATCCTAAAAATGATAACGTTTGACAGTTTTATTTCGATTCATAACGAATTGCCAGCTATTAATATCTTTAAGACGGGATACCTTACATCATGAAACTGATCAATACTCTCTCTATACGTTTATCAAAGAACTGTAAAAACAAGTAGCTATTACAAAATTTTATTACGTAATCTTACCGAACTCATCCGGATTGACTTCTGCCAATCTCAATAATCTCTGAACAAGTAATTCTTGCTTAAAATTATGATTCATGAAGTAATGTTTGGTTGGTTTTTTATTGCCCTCTTGGCCAGAATGAGGCGCCATCTGTTGCCTGCTAAAGAACTAGGATAGATATGGTTCACTAAGATAATATTCAGCAGTTATATATCTTACGTTTATACTATAGAATCAGTAAAAGTACGGGTATACCTGACGACCTTCTACTTTATTAGTAAATTGAGGGCGGCGATTTGATTTTCCAGGCGGTTTTTTAGAGTTTTCTGTAGGAGGTAATTGCCTATGAAAATTATCATAACTGGGATTTGTTGTTAAGCTTTGATGACTGGGCGTCGAGTGCGATCGATTTAATCCAGCAGGTACAGAATTATTCTTATGCCTAGGAGATAACTTGTTATAATTTGACGAGGCCATAGTATTAGCCTGGCTATAACCACTTCTGTTATCTTGACGTGGTGGTTTATTGTTGGTTATACCGGGGATAAATTCTTCGGCGTTAGGATTATAGTTCTATAAGGTAAATAGTGTAAGTTTACAACAGCAAATATTTACTACTATTTCATCATGACAATGTATTAATGGTATAAAGTAACAACTAGCATGCTTTTACAAATTTATGAAAGTAGGAAAAACACACATTTCGTGATTGTACATTGGATAGGCTAAAGGAGGACATCAGATCAACTAGTGGGGGCGATCCTTCTTCGGTTGCTATAGTTTATTCAGACGATGGCGATCGTAAGTAAGTAAACAATAAATAGTCTTGATGTAATCAGTAAAGAACCACTTGTGAAATATCTCTATCTACTTGCGTCCTACGAAATAAACGAAAGATAGCAACAAGCAAGGTAGACTACTTCTACGTACGACTAATGCCAGTGGAATTGCTAGTAAAATTGGTAGTCGGAAATCCATGATATCCACTCTGAGTAGCAGAGTTTTCATTACGCCGTGACTAAATATCAAGACAGATTGGTGTATTCAATTGCAAATTAATTAATTACTACTGTATCAGCTAGTCTCTATTCGTATCAACAACGGTTATGGTAGTAATTGTAAGACAGTTCTTTTGGTATGACTGTCTAATATCTATATGTATATCTCTATAACAAAGGGTTAGTCATATAAGCTAATTATTTGTAAGACATCTTTCCTACTGTATATGAGTGTATAATCTATACCGTGAGTGGATTATGGTAAGCATTTTGGGTTTCTTTACCTAAAATTTGAATGATAGAAAAATTAGATTAAAGATTCTATGATTGACGTTAGCAAAAGGTCTCAATAACATCCTTCAAATCGTGTTGATGATAGAAGATTGGTCAGTATTGGTTAGCAATAGTGGCTTAGTGATTTAAAATACGGTACTACTATCATTGGCAAATAGATATTAGGCCAACTACTGCATTATTTCATTGAAAGAGAGGCCTTCTTCAAAGCTACAATTATAGCCCCTACAGTATAATGGTGTTCTTCCATAATAAAGCAATTGATTGTCATTATTGAATCCATACCAGTACGCTGATTCATCTTTTCCCGTTGTAAATCTCGTTTTATTCCTATTTTATTATAGGCAGTTATATAGTATAGTATATCGACAGTAGAACGTCTAGGAGTCAATTTGTATCTTCCAAATACAATGAATAAATTGTCTACAGTACTTCAACTTGCACACTCTTTTCCCAACCACAGCAAGGGTATGTTAACGTATTCAAAGTTGTTAATAAACGCGCCACAAGTTAGAAGTAAATAGGCATGGTCTAGCTAGCACCTAGAGATTTTTATGGTTTTCACTCTATTTTTCTACTTGCACACTCTTTTCACAACCAGAGCAAGGGTATTTTAACGTATTCCAAGTTCTTGATAAATGCGCCACAAGCTAGGAGTAAAATACGAAGTGGTCTAGCTTGCACCTAGAGATGATGACGATTTTTACTCGACTTTTCTACTTGCACACTCTTTTCATAACCAGAGCAAGGGTATTTTAACGTATTCAAAGTTCTTGATAAATGCGCCACAAGCTAGGAGTAAAATACGAAGTAGTCTAGCTTGCACCTAGAGATGATGACGATTTTCACTCGACTTTTCTATTTGTACACTCTTTTCCCAAGCAGAGCGAGAGTATCTTATAACGTATTCAAAATTCTTGATAAACGTGCCACTAGAAATTAATTAAAATGATCTAGCATGCAAGTAGAGATTTTATACGATTATCACTGGCTTTCCTCAATGATTAGTGGACAGTTTGACTTCTGTTTTAGCGCACGTCTGCCTACTGGGTATAGTGTACTGTGGACTTGTGGCCTATCCTACAACATACGATAGTACTGTAAACTAATGTTCCACTGTGGAGTATAGCGGTTGGCATTTCATCTTCTATCCCTATGGGCATTTCTATCGCGTAGGTCTTTAAGTTTTACCACTACGATTAACTATCGGCGAAAAGGGTCTGTAAGCTAATGTTCCACTGTACGTACAGTAGTTGGCATTTCATCTGCTATCCCTATGGGCATTTCTATCGCGTAGGTCTTCAAGTTTTACCACTACGATTAACTATCGGCGAAAAGGGTCTGTAAGCTAATGTTCCACTGTACGTACAGTAGTTGGCATTTCATCTTCTGTCCCTATTGGCATTTCTATCGCGTAGGTTTTCAAATTTTGCCACTACGATTAATTATGACCTCCTATCGGCGAAAAATGTCTTTATGCTAATATTCCACTGTACTGTACATACAGTAGTTGGCATTTCATCTTCTATCCCTATGGGCATCTCTAACGCATGGGTTTTCAAATTTTGCCACTACGATAACCGTGACTTCCTATCGGCAAAAATGGTCGTCTAGGCGCTATGTTCTTAAGTTAAGGGCAAAGATTGAAATTTTTACGCTGAAGTTGTCATGTTTTGAATTGTAAATTGGCACAGGCACTATGCAGGAGCTAGCTAACTGTGAAATCATATGCTCCATGTTTACTGTAGGAAATGTCTAGAGTTGCCAAGTGCAACTTGAAGCAATAAGTTTAGTGAAAACATACAATCAGGTGCAAAGTGTTTAAAGCAAAGCACATCAACAAAAGGCCGACATAGTACAACTTTGTAATTTGCAAGCCCATTACCTGCTCGTTTAACAAGCATGGATTTTTTTAATATACATTACATTAGTTATGATTAAGTATTATTAGGCATCTACAGGTCTATTGCTGCATTCGTCATGTTGGCGAATAATGCCGTTGATTTACAGTAGCACAGTCATGTTAGCTATGTTAACTGTTCACGGATAGACTACGGTCGTGGACTAGTAAATATGTGATGGATTTCTTATAAGTAATTCATACTATGGTACAGTAGCCTACGATCATACATCACTTGTCCGCGGACTAGATTGTAAAATTCATTTAACAGTCTATTTTTAGCACTACTGGTTCAATGTACAACATGGAAGGTACCATAATGATTATGCCGAAAAGTTATCTTTAGATATTATCATCCATCTTGTATTTGTACAGTACAATACAGTACATAGCTAGTAAATAACTAAAATTGTTGTAGACTGTGTAGCAATCGAGTAACATTTGAGTGGTCTATCCAGTCATTCCAGTGCAGGAAATAACAAACCATTTTGCTACTATTGTACATAGTGTGTGTACAGCAATAATCTTTATTGGCATTATTTATATTCAGTATTACTCAGTTGAAATGTCACTTTTCCAGTTTACAATATCGTTAGTCCTAAACCCTAACACAGTTAGTGATTATATACTATGATAATAATTAGTTATTAAGTTTACAATGTCATTAGTCATAATACGATAGAAACCGGTAACCGAAGTTATTCTGACCCAGTGACTATGATAACAGTGATTATAGATTATTGTACTGTATTTTACTGTAGAAGGTAACTGAATAAGGGTGTTTACATAGCAACACTGAAAAGATTTATTTTTGAAGGCACGTCAAAATTGTTTACAAGAAATGGTAAGTTATGCTCAAAGAGTTGGCGAAATATCCCAATTAGGTCAAAATTGCACCATGCTAGTACAGTAGGCAAAATTGATATTAGGACCATTCTCACTGTTCAATAGCAAATGTATACGGACGTGAAGTAGATTCCTTTAGTCAAGTTTTACGCAATCCTGTATACATCCAGCGTTAACGTATGCCGCATTAATGTGCTAGGTTTAGATTCATAGTTTATTCCCATTGAAATGGTACAGCTGTTGTTTTTTAGATCAGGGACAAAGTAACCGTTGCCAAAACTCGATCGCTAAAATAAAAAGCTGTAGTACTGTCCAGTATCGAGCTAGAACTCTTTACTAAAGTTAAGTGGTGTGGGGTGATAACGTAAACAAGAAAAAAGAGTCCCCAAAATTAGGATCAAGTGCAACACTTGGACAACGGCAATAAGTAACCAATCGCATACTATTGGTTAAGGAGTGGTGTACCCGTACATATAGTATCCATAGGAATAGAATACCTTTCTAACGAGTGTTTTAACTGAAAGAGGGAGGATATACTATCTCTCTATGTTTTTAATTTATTTATTACTATTGACTGAATGAAAAGAAAGCTTAACATTGTATAATTAATATATATTTCATTGACGACATTGGCTCTTTATACTTGTATGCAGGCTGATAAAAAAAGGTATCAGTGAGAAAAAAAAAATGACAACACCTTGTATACCAAGCAAAGTTTTATTGACTGACAGAATTGTGCACGCATTACGGTAAAATAGATTCCAAAAAACTACACTCTACTCTAAAGTAATAGATGATAAAATAATGTGCATTGGCTTGAGGATATTTGTAATAGGATGATATTAATTGAAGCGATAGCGTCAATAGTAATCATGGAAAGAATGGAGAGTAAAATAAATATACAGTAAGCCATATTGATAGTACAGTAGTCCATGCTGTATATATATATATATCTACATAACATACAGTACACTGTATAGCCCCGCCTGATGAAAACGCTACTTGGTAATACACAAGATATGATTTACATTATGAAAGAGGTCAGAAAGGATCGCATATTAAACCTATCCATAGCTTCCAAAGTGTACTCTTACACCTTACTTCATCATTCAGTTAGAATTTTACTGTTAGTAGTTAGATACACATGAAATCGATACACTTGAAAGTTGTTGATGACTTACCAGTTGGGGATGCTTTACTGGATTGGCTTTTAAGTAGCGATTTATCGTGATAAAATTGGCACTGATCTCCATACATACATGTCATTCCAGAAGAGAAATATTTGCATGGTATGATTGATTTGTTCAGTCGATTGGAGGATCGATTACCTTTGGAGTAACTCATCTTGGTGGACTATCACTATATTGTGCTTGATTATGCTATCTAACACTTTAAAGTGAAAAGATTGATATAAAACAGATTGACGACGTCGCGATTGTAATCGATGGCGTTATCTTGTAGATATGAAATTTAGAATAGATATTTTCAAGATTTTTTCCAATCTATTCCTTTACAATTCTTGCTAATATTAACGAATCGGTCTGATTATATTGTACATGCTAATGTACACAGACTATCGCATCCTATCTTCAACGATATCGAATAATAACCACCATTAACTAAACTACCAAGCCATGCCATGATATCGGTCTCCCTACCAACTGTAAATTCATGAGTGCTCACGACAACGTATTGGACTCTTGAACCGTAGCTTATCGGCTTCACCTTATCGTACAGTACAGTACTGTATAATCTGTACTGTACACTGTACAGGGCGCCCGGAAAGTCTGGACGCCCGGAAAGTCTGGTCTTATTTACTTCTGTATGAAAGATGGGTCCAAACTTTCTTTGCAAATTTGGTATGCAGTAAGATCATGTTCTGGAGATTTGAATATCGCAAACAGCAATGTTCTGAGACGTTCAGGTGTCTATACAGTACACTATACTGTACAGTGCTGGACGTGTGTGTATAGGCCGCCCGGAAAGTCTGGTCTTATTTACTTCTGTATGAAAGATGTGTCCAAACTTATTTCCAAATGTTGTATTGCAGTAAGATCATGTTCTGGAGGTTTGAATATCGCAAACAGCAATGTTCTGAGACGTTCAGGTGTCTATACAGCACACTATACAGTGCTGGACGCTTTAGCATCATGACCGTAGCGTACTGTAGTGTACCTGGTACAGTATAATGTACCGTTGTAGACCTTAATGTACTGTACATTGTACTGTACACTCTACAGTAATGTGGCTAGTTATGGAGGCTACTAGTAATAATGATGATAATAACAATAATCAAATATTCTTAAATATGCATAGAGTAAACATGGACAAGGTAGTCAGCAGCCGAAAATCAACTTAGCAGCGGATTGAATTTAGATATCAATTGCCGATACGATAGTTCATCATGACAGACATGCGATACAGTTGAAATGACCAGTAAAATAATCGGCGTCTACCGTTTTGCTAGCACTCTCTTTCGACTCACGTAGTCCATCATCGACTCCATAGTAATAAACTATAGTAAACTACTCGTGCCGTACAGTACTGCGCATCTGTCAAAAACCAATTCGAAAAACGGTACAGTACTGTATACTGTAGTATACAGTAGTTAGTACTCCGTTCGAAATTTGTTTGCACTGTATTCTTGGGGAAAAATCCAGTCAGTATGATCGCATTAACCAGCAAACAAGAACGCACTGTAGCTCTAGTGACATTATTTTTGCACAGATTACTTTGTGTGTACAAGTATTGTGCTGTAGTGCAGTCTATACTGAACGTCCTGAAGAATACAACTGCAGATACAGTACTCGTATTAAAAAACATCTCCAAGCTACGATTGTACCCATTCTAAAACTTGAACTTGGAGGCGTCCACGCTCTCATTTTGAAGCGGTAGAATTGCATTTTTGGAGCACTTTTCTTGGTTGTTCTGTACATTTGGAGATTGCTTAACGTCAAGAAATTATATTTTCTCTACAAAGAATTTACTGTAGATCGATTTTAAGTTCACGACCTTCAAATCGTCATCCATCGTTGGTAGCTTTTGCTTGCTGTTGATGATGCCTCGTTGCATCATCATTATGACGATAGAGGTGGAATATACCGTAGATAATTAATGAATTAATAAGTCAACCTGTTTTCGTCCTCTGTTGTAGAACTGATAGAATAGCATCGATTGAATCCTAATTTGTTAGCTAAACTAGTAAAACAGTAGATTCGACTGTGCAAGAAGATTTCCAAATACTGTACTCGCTACTATGGACGTGATATTAATGAGTTGGACCATAATATTGGCTGTGTTGGCAGTCCTACTCATGCTAGTACTATACCTTCGTAGATGGGCAACTAGGAAGAGAAATCAATTAAAGAATAATATTGACGCCAAAGTAATCGTTGGATTCTTTCATCCTTACTGTAATGCTGGAGGTGGCGGTGAACGTGTATTGTGGTGCGCTATTCGGGCTATACAGGAGGTATATCCAGGCGCTCATTGTGTCGTATACAGCGGAGATTGCGATGCAAAACCCCAAGATATTCTACGTAAAGTCAAGCAACGTTTTAATATTAACTTGAAAAGAGATGTAGAGTTTAAGTTTCTACGAAAGCGACAGTTAGTAGAAGCATCATCTTATCCGTTTTTCACATTATTAGGGCAATCGCTAGGTTCTATATTACTTGGCTGGGAAGCTTTACGTCTTTGTGTTCCCGATATCTATATCGATAGCATGGGCTATGCTTTTACTTTACCGTTGTTTCGCTACATTGGGTGCTGCAGTATCGGCTGTTATGTCCATTATCCAACAATAAGTGTTGACATGTTAAGTGTGGTCAGTAGCAGAAGGCCTGGGTTTAATAATGCCTCATTTATATCCAACAGTAAATTATTAAGTAGTATCAAAATATTATATTATTACATCTTTGCCTTATTGTATGGCTTAGTTGGTAGCAGTGCGCATGTAATTATGGTCAATTCAAGCTGGACAAAAAATCACATACTAGCACTATGGAAAAAGCCTTTGTCAACCTCTGTAGTTTATCCGCCATGTGATACAAAAACTTTTCAACAATTTCCAATTACAGAATTTCCTGAAGTCAATGATAAACAACAATTGACGATTGTATCTATAGCTCAATTTCGCCCTGAGAAAGATCACCCGTTGCAAATTAGATCCTTTCATAGATTTTTACAAGCTTTATCCCAAGAAGAAAAGAAGCGTTATGGATTAATTTTAATCGGGAGCTGTCGGAATGATGAAGATTTAGCTCGTGTCAATAAATTAAAAGTGTTGTGCGATGAATTGAAAATTGTTGATTACGTAAAATTTGAGTTAAACGTATCATTTGAAAAGTTACAGGAACGTCTATCAAATGCAACTATTGGATTGCACACAATGTGGAATGAACATTTCGGTATCGGTGTAGTTGAATGCATGGCAGCTGGAGCTGTCACTTTAGCTCATAATAGTGGTGGTCCAAAAATGGACATTGTAAAAGACTGGCAAGGCCAGCCAACAGGTTTATTAGCAGAAAACGAAGAACAGTATGCAACGGCAATGAAAGAAATATTTGAAATGTCCACCAAAGAACGAATGGATCTCAGGCTAAGAGCTCGAGAATCTGCTGCAGCAAGATTCTCTGAAGATGTATTCAATACTTCGTTTATCCGAGCCGTGCAGCCATTATTCCATAAATGAATAGTCATTTTATTATTTACGACAGTCTACAGATATTATTTACAATATAATGTCGTATGTATTTATGTACACGTCAAACATAATTGAAATAATTGTAAACCAATGGATTTGAAAATATTAATATTGGTTTTACATTATCGGAAGATTAATGAGATAGCGCACAAATACACCCATGATTGTTCCTCTCAAAACAGATTCTTTTTTATAAATATTGTTATTAATTATCAACAGTATTAATTGTTGTCCATTTTTATAAATGACGTGAAATTATTCTGAAATTTAACTCAATAAGGTCATGTGGTAAGCTTTGCCTTGTTTTAACAAATAGCCCACAATATCTTGTGTGTGAAACTGCAAGTCACATAATGTACATTTAAGATATCGGAATATTTTTTCTCCAAAATTTCAGTGATAGTTCTACCGAATTTCGTAACATCTGTAGATCTAGTTAGCTTCTTTGAAACAAGGTCTAGCAGATTCATAAGCTTAACATATAATTGCTGATGTAGTGGATACAGATTAGTGATTTTATTTAATTTACGGATAGGATAGTCATGTTAAGATTAAAAGTAAACTTACATTTTGTTGACACTAGTAATCGTTAAGGACATAAGTCTGTTATTATCCATTGGTTTATTCTACGATTCACGAGATGGACAGTGGTGCTTGGTGCATTCTACAGTATGTACACTAATAAATATGCAATGAATTGTGTCTTGAACGTCATTTAATCATGATTTCTCTGTATGCGAATTGTACTATTTACTATTACATTAAATCATGTATTACCTATGAAGTGAGGGCGTTGTAAGTCAGTGGAATATTAAATTGTCGCAGAGAAACTTCTAAATTTAATAGATATGTAGAACAAAGATTCGTAAATAGTGACTGGTACATGAAGCAAGCTTCCCTATTGCAAGAAAAAATTACCATTTGGCTATGCTTGTGATTAGACGCAATCTTGGCCAAAGTGAGATAGTACTATATGCTATAAAGTAGTAATATTCCACAGCGCCAAGAAATTTAAATAGTTCGTTATTATGTTCCTTTATTTTATTTATGGCGAAGCAAATACTGTAAAATTGTAGACCTCTATCTAGTATTTCAACAGATGGAATAAAGGCAGTATTTCATGAAATAGGTATATTATAAAATATTATGTTCCACTCACAGATTTAAAATACATCATCTATACAATGATGTTTATATAAATTTTCAAAATATATATAACTTTGACAGATATTTAAAGCTATCTGTGGTAAAGCTTATAAGTTATCCCTTCATAGATAGATGGCATTTCATCAAAAGTTATATCAATATGATCAAATCCTTTTTCGAATCCACTTAAGATCAATCGTGATATGCACTTTGTTAACGGATTAGCGTCTTCATCGGAAGCCAACTCTGACAGAGGAAGCCATTCACAGTGAGATAATTCGTCCGTGCATATGTTTATATCGTATGTGATAGGAGACAATCGGCAAATCACATATATATCAGATTGATCGAAAAAATATGGCAAATGATGCTGATGCCGAAAAGCTAAAACTGATCTATATTCTGGCATAAAAGTTCTTCTGTGAGTAGCAAATTAATATATTGAATACGCATATCAACCGATAGATAATTATAGTCATTTAGCTATTAAATTACTGTACCTGCTTGAATGCCAGTCTCTTCATAAACTTCTCTGATTGCTGTTTCTCCTAAATAACGAAAAGTATTGTGTTTGTATTTCACTAATAGTAGCCAGCAAATATAATCCTAGTAAAGTAGTATAATGCTGACGTATAGCAGTATTTATAGGTTGGAGTACAATAGTCTGAAAAAGTAAACTTGTATTATCAATTAAGATAAGTACATTATATATGACGTATTGGATTATTAATTTAGATATTCTGGTTTTACAGTATCTATCACTTAAAGATTAGTGATTTTTAATACTTACGAAAGTCTTCTCCGTGATCTGCGTGGCCGCCAGGGAATTTCCATTTTCTTATCTGAAATATGTGTATAAATGATAAATATAGTTGCAATCCAGCTTGATTGTACTATATTTCTAATATATGGATTATTATTTTTATGACTGACAAACCTTCATGATTCTCTCTTGAATAGCCAATACCTTTTTAGTACTTTCGTCTACTACAACTCCTAAAATGGAATAAAGAAAGTTAATCTTAAGATTTTTATATATATACATTACTGATAAAGTGTACTAGACTACTGGCACCATAACGTGTCACTTTGCTGACAGAGATATTGTACCAAACTTTTCAATTTACTCCTACAGCGGAAATCTATTCCCCTTTTAATAAAATGATTATGTTACGTTAAGTGGTACTGTATTGCGGTGTCATATATATACATGGTGCAAACAACAACGGAAGAGCGTTAATGTCTGTCCACCTGTATGATAACGTCGTCAGGTGCGTACAAAATTATTGCTACCGACGGGATAATTATTTTGTTGTTTAGTTTTTGATTGCAACTGTTAGCACATCACAGTGAATTTCATAGTTGAAGTTGTATGGCAATTAATTTATAATTATTGAAAAGGTTAACTACCCGACTATTTGACCTTACATTAGTTTAGTTGCATTATCAAGTTGCGCGTTAGACGATCATTGCTCAGCCAGGTCGAATTATCATGATTGTACTGCATAGTACAGTACAGTAACGTAAATGCAGAGCTAGAGCTATAAAGCACTGGTTGCGCGTATAATTAATTAATTAATTAATTATTGAAGAGGCTAACACTTGAACTATTCGACATTCTACAAATTGGATTACATTCATTAGGTCATGATTGGGAAGATGATTGTTCAGCTAGGTCAAACTGTTGTAGTTTATATTATGCAACAGGCACAACAGTCAATTCGTCGACAATATTAACGGAAAAAGAAGTTAATTTACTCAATCATGATTAGTGCAACGATTGTAGTCTTACCGCAGACACCAACTTTATGAGTTCCAAATAGTGGTACTTTGCACTCAATATCATCAGGAAGCCAACAATTCATCATAGCAGTGTCTCCTTTTGCATGATGAAACTGAAAGCCATGCTTAGCAGCAACAGCTATTAAATTGCAAGATTGTATTGGTACCTTCAACCAGACGGTTCTTTTGCCTAGATTTCTGCATTCTTTCACTGCCTCTGTAGTGAGTGAGTACGCATGTTTATAGTCAATATTGATGATATAACTGAAAGTAGAGTAAATTGACGTTGAATATCGATTTTGATACCAAAACGGAGAGCTATAGTAGACTACTTTCAAGCTCAAAGTCGATTACATTCATATGATGTCTAGTCAAGTAACCACACCACTAATGAATTAGGTTCAAGTCTGTGATTGGATTTTGGTATTATTTATCTACTGTATTAAGAATTTCTCAAGTTCTGCCTTTTAAAATTCAATGTAATTGGAAGCTGTAGTAGCGTGTAATAGATAGAACGATACAGTTGTTACACTGACTATACTCAAAATTTATGCTAGATTCATAAAATTGAGTTATCATATGCTAGGATTGGTGTACAGCCATAATTATACGAATACGTTGTATACTGTATGATTCAGTAATTGATTTAATTTATTTAACGTACAGTACATTGGTACATGTTAGTTATAACGGCATTTTGACTATGATGTTACCGGTTGTTAGTAGTCATGAGTAAAGCCTAATTCGAGGGCGAACCTGCTATAGCTGAATCGAAATTAGCCGGCTTGAGAAGGTGATTATCGACTCGTTGTAAATCAATTTCAACTCCACCATGCCAAATAAAACGATATTTTAACGATTCAAGGGAGATCGTTGATAATCCACGTAATTTTGATACAATTGGTGTGTAAAACTTAGTGTAACTATGTGGACCAAATAGCTTCTCCTTTAAACTAAGACGACTGAATGTAAACAGTTGCGATATCATTTTAAACCTATGGTTAATTTACCGCTGCGATCACCACTAGTCATTCGCAAAATTCCTACTGGATGAAATTTCTTGCTATAGTTAGAATTGGCAGCTTGATCAACTGTTTACGAGTGGCCTACAGTGCTGCTGTCTGCTAAAATCTCGTTGATGCAAGCTGTTTATGTAGGTGTTCAATACAAGATTATTGGCAAATATGATATTTCCTTTTGCACTTCTGCTCTACTGTACATAGAGTACTGTACACACTGAGTTCACCGCACACAGTACAGTGTATAGTATAGCGCAGCATCAATGCGTAATGAGAAAGTGATGAAACAGCTCAGCTCAGCATATAACCAACATTGCTGTACTCCAACAGGCAGTTTCCGACAAAAAAAATCACTTTTCATAAATGAGGAGCAGCTTGTAGAGTCCCTTATAGGCCATGAACTACTAAAATACCTCTACAGACCTAGATCGATCAATATTCACAAATATATTGTCGCTTCTTGAGACTTCCAAGAGGGATAAATAGTTCATTTCTCGCAACGATGTCAACAAGATATGTAGTAAACATGATGACTGAATACACCAGTTACTATCAACGAATTGAATACCATTGAGTCATCTCACAAGACGTCAACTACAACGCGTGAATGACCCACAGTGTACAGTACTACTGTACAGTACAATGTGCAGTGCACTCATGCACTGTACTGTACTTGCTGTACTGTAGTAACTCTGTCAACGCAGTGCAGCATCATTCGTCAACAACGGAAAACATCAATGGAAAGCAATGCCAATATCAATATCAATACGTCTACAGACTTAGATCGATCAACATTCACCCATATATTGCCGCTTCTTGAGACTTCCAAGAGGGATAAACAGTTCTTTTCTCGCAACGATGTTAACAAGATATGTAGTAAATATGATGGCTGAATACACCAGTTACTATCAACGAATTGAATACCGTTGCGAGTCATCTCACAGGACGTCAACTATACAGTACTGTACTGTAAAACGCGTGAATGGCCCACAGTGTACAGTACTACTGTACAATGTGCGGTGCACTTATGCACTGTACAGTACAGTACGTGCTGTACTGTAGTAACTCTGTCAACACAGTGCAGCATCATTCGTTAACAACGGAAAACATCGATGGAAAGCAATGCCAATATCAATATCAATACCTCTACAGACTTAGATCGATCAATATTCACCAATATATTGTCGCTTCTTGAGACTTCCAAGAGGGATAAACAGTTCATTTCTCGCAACGATGTCAACAAGATATGTAGTAAACATGATGACTGGATACACCAGTTACTATCAACGAATTGAATACCGTTGCGAGTCATCTCAACAAGACTTCAGCTGCAACGCGTGAATGACCCACAGTGTACAGTACTCCATTACAGTGTACAGTGCAGTGATGTACTGTAGTCTACTGTACAGTACTGTAATAACCCGAACGTAGTGCAGCATCATTCGTCAACAACGGAAAACATCGATGGAAAGCTATGCCAATATCAATATCAATACCTCTACAGACTTAGATCGATCAACATTCACCAAAATATTATCGCTTCTTGAGACTTTCAAGAGGGATAAATAGTTCATTTCTCGCAACGATGTCAACAAGATATGTAGTAAACATGATGACTGGATACACCAGTTACTATCAACGAATTGAATACCGTTGCGAGTCATCTCAACAAGACTTCAGCTGCAACGCGTGAATGACCCACAGTGTACAGTACTCCATTACAGTGTACAGTGCAGTGATGTACTGTACAGTAGTCTACTGTAATAACCCGAACGCAGTGCAGCATCATTCGTCAACAACGGAAAACATCAATGGAAAGCAATGCCAATATCAATATGGCCAGTGAAAGCTCTCAAGTCAAGTTACGCTTTACTTTGCCCATGTCATGCCATATCTGTTTAGACAGGGTAAGGATAATGTTATAATGGCTACATACATTTTATCCCAATCTTTTATTATGTTCAATGCAATATATAACCATGGTATAGTAGTCATTGATATAAAATTCAAATGGAATTAGATTGTGATCGTGTTATACATTGATATACTGTATGCGTAGAATTCATGATAAAAGTGTGGATTGCATAAATACTGTTCCAGTAGTAATTGCTGTTGTTTTACAGGTAAAGGAACCTGTAATATGTGCAAATCATCATGTATTTTGCTCACGGTGTATTGAAGCTTGGCTTCAATACCATAATTGTTGTCCAGCGTGTCGGACTGCCATCTCTCCCGAAAGTCCTTGCAAACCAATTTTAGGTAGGTATTATTCTCGCGTCCGGTGAGTTGATATCGCTATGTTATATTCTTTCTGCAATATGAATTATTATTATTTATGGCTACTTTTCCACCTGTAAAGCAAGTCATAGCTATTACTTATCTATTATTTGCATTTATATCGTGTAGACATCAGCGTTGATCATTTTTTCCAATCATATTATATTGAATTGTCTAGGAATATCCGATGATAATTCGTCGAATAAAGATGACAAAGACTTTGAGTTAACTCAAGAATTACGTAAAGTTCGATTCGAAATAATACGTAAAGAATACGAGGTGAGTTTGTTAGTATGTAAACTTTTATGGCGTGACTCACAGGTTACAGTTTGCTGGTTGGAGTAGATAATTTGATACTGAAGTAGGATATACTCGTACATCAAGCCTTTCCAAGAATTATCATTATGGCATTATGCTTTGTAAATCACATGTTGCGAACTGGATCGGTTTCTTTTGGCAGAAAACGTTCTCAGGAATAATATTAACCATATTTATTTATTAACTATAATTTTCCCTTTAATTTTAAACTCGCTAGGAAGAAATCGACCAGCTACGTGTAATGCTGAAAAGCTTTCGAGAGGAAAATATCAAACTAGTGGAGACAATAAATAACTTAAAGAAACGCAAATATTGTAATTGTCAACATGCAGATCATTGCCATGATGAAGAAATACCCTCTAAAAAGATGCGAATGCAGGAGGGCTATGATAGCCCCAAAACAATTTGGCGTATTGCTGATGAATTAATGGTTGCTACAAATAGTTGTAATGATCTTTTGAGTGAAATGAAACAAATTAATGAGGTAATACTGCAAAGGTTTAAAAATTTTTAATATGGTTACAATAAATTACAGCGCAGAATCCTTTATGTATTCGTAATAACCAGTTAATAAGTAAATTTTTTCTGTAACAGTTAATGAGAATCTATTAATCAATTGTTATTTTGATGTCTAACTCGTGCTTCATTAGTCTAATAAGAAATTTCGCGAAGAAAATGAAAAACTTAAGGAGGAAATTAATCGTTTGAGATATGAGCGAGCATCACCTACCAAAACTTACAGGTGCAGCATAGTATTTACATTTGTTCGCTATAAATATACAAAAAAGATGTAATTCAATCAACTGTCGTCGACTAGTAGCAGTTGCTTTGGCTATTTAATCTCGATTGTATTTATGCAGGCATGGAAGATATGTTATGGCTGCTATGCAGTCTAAAATTAGTTGTTACGAAAGAGAAATTGAGCAACTGAAGAAAGCATTAATGCGTAGTGATAAGTACATAGAAGAATTGACAAGTAATTATGTAAAGGAATTAGAATCAGATAAAAATTCAGAAAGCGATGATATCGCAAAGGTGATGTTAGAAGAATGTTTTTAACCTATCGTAGATACCTTCTATGCTTAATATTCCATTAATTTACAGATTATAATATAGAAAATATTTTTTGCACTTGATAGAATTTATTACTTAACGATGACAAAGTAAAAGAATCACCTATTGCTCAGAGTTCGAAATATGAAAATAATAGCTCAACATCTTGTGGAGTAGTGCGATGCTTATTTCCTGGAGATTCAACACAATGAAGCAACAGCAAATGTATCGAAATTATCGTAACTACAAGCATCTATTTAATTTACTATTTTCAATATTATACAGATTATTATTTATGAATTGGTTTTGTAAATGAAATTTTTCTACCTTAGCTATAAGATTTGATCCTATTGGTTAATATTTAGTTCGAGTTGATTAATGACATTAAAAGGCACACACAGCTGATTTCAAGCTCTATTGAATCAATATGTTTGAAATATAATCAGAAAACGCTTATCTCTCAGTTTGATAAGTCAGTATAATATACAGATAATTGTGGCCACTTTTATGTATAATTATATTGTTGATGGCCTATCGTACAATTTCTACAAATTAAATAAGATTATTCAGTTATAATTGAACAATTACCTTAGCATGTAAGTTTATCTAGTTTAAATCTTGCGTAAAATCGCAGCTATGTCTGCAAATATTACCGTATAAGAATTTGTTAAGTGTCTATGCTTTAAAGAGTAACTATTATGTTAGGATGTAATCATCCTTATTGTGATTGTTTCGACTTTATATTGAGATCTAAATGTAGATATGTACATATCTTCAGGAAGGTACTATACAAGTATACATGCCACTGTAATTTGTATCTGGTTTGCATAAAATTAATGTATTCAAATATGAACGGAGAACAACGGCTAATATTATTGATGTCGTAAAATAAATGATCCCTTTAGAGAGTAGTTACTAGTGATTAGTGGGATCATACAGAAATAATTACACTTATGATAAATTAGCCTATCCATATCTGACTGGCTGGCTTTATTTTGTATGATCTTTAAGTTACATACAGTATGCTTTATTCTAGCCTCAATTATAGTTGTAATTCATTTATTTCAGAAAGCATACAGCGAAAGCAGTACTAAGAATTGATTTGTAAATTTGAGGTGCTACCTGAATATTTGCAATACCTAGACCCCTGATTTTAGAATTTAAAGCCACAGGTTAGGCCAGCATCATCTCAAACCCCTTATAGATGAGTCTAATGTCAGAACTATTTTAAAATGACCCAATTCTCTTTTAACGAGTTAGACCTGAACGCTACTCCTAAATTGGTTACCTACGTGCATGGAATAAGTTTGCCTACAGTTAGTAAAGGAATATGTTAAATAGGAATTCTATATTCATAAAGTTAGCAGAATCGATGTTCCATCTAATTGCGAGTGAGAGTTTTTCAGGCAGCAAATGAATCATACACACATTTTTAATTGGTCAAGCATTCCTTTATTGCATTAGTTTTTAACTTCATAGATGAAATATCTGCATATACGAGTCAAAATATTATAACGTATATAACATTTGACAATAGATCAAATGTTATTACGGTACATAAATAACTCAATCACTACAAAGATTTGCTTTGAAGGCGATGCATAGAAATAAGTACTGCTATAAAATTAGGAATAAAATCAAGCTTTCAGTTTTAATTGTATAATATTGTTTCAGCTATTGAATATGAATTAGAATAATACTTATTGTACTTAAATTTCAAGACTAAAGTCAAGCTTTCAGTTCTAATTATATAATATTGTTTCAAGTATTGACTATGAATGGGAATAGTACTTTTTTTTACTGAATTTCAATCAATAAGAAGCTTATTTAGGAGTTGCATACAAGATACAGATATTAAATGGAAATAGGAATTCAATCAAGCTTACGATGCTTATTTTAACCCATTGTTTTGGTACTATTGGATAAATCAATGAATCAAATATCACCTACTATATATAGAACTTAATTATGGATAAAGCTCGTTAGAGGCTGTTTTTAGATCTGATTATTAAAAAATAAGAATGAAATTAAGCTTTAGTTCGAGATTCTATAGCATTGTTTCGCGTATTAACAATAAATTAAATAATATTGTCCAATATAGATAGCAGTGGGTCTTAGAGAAAGCTTGTCAGCAATAACACTTAGTCAAAATTATATTATTAAAAAAACAAGAATAAAGACAAGCCTGTAAATAATTTTACAATATTGAATCGGATATTAACAATGAACTTACACGATATCTATCAGTTACAAGCTCAATCATCGAGAATGCTTGTTTAAAAATAGCCCTTAATCGTAATTAACTGAAAATAGTAGTAAAGACAATTGTTGCATTCAATTTTAAAAGATGGAATCGGATGTTGACAGTAAATTCAATAATATCTGCAGTACTATAGATAAATGCAATCGTTGAGAAGGCTTGTTAAAGTTACATCATTTCATTCAGGCTCAAATGAAACTAGATTTAAAGTTAATTCGTGAGATGAAGTTTGTAATATTAAATCGGATGTTGATAATGAATCTAAAGAACATCCACAGGACCAGCAATCAAAGTGAATTATTGAAAAATCTTAAAATAGTGCCGAAAAACGAAGAAAGAAGCCTCTATTTCTATTATTAGCCCAAATTTTATAGCGTTACACCAGGTGCTATTTCTGTATCTTTTAAATTAAATGCAAATTAATGAAGATGATAGTGCACACTAACTCAATTCAGATTTTACTGTTGTAATTAATTAGTTCATTTGCTTAGTGTGATTTCGTGACCATTTTTCTGTACAACATCGAGATTAAGATAAATGAAATCATGTAGATCGATTTACTAATTGCTTTCATGAACTAGAACTAGAGCTTTTAGTGGCTCTTGCTCGTGATCAAAAGGGTGAAAACATGTGGATTTAAATTTATTGTCGTGTCCATTAGTAATTGCAGAGACATAATTCAAGTAACAGTTTCGTGGTATAAGAAAAGGCAATTAATTTTATATTTATAGATCTAAAATTATAAGATTAGTCTTAAGTTCGTTCAAATAGGTTTTTATGCCCTAGAAGGGAAGTTCTTGCGATTCGTAGTCTGTTTTTAACGATTATACCAACATGCATACAATCTATCTACAATGGCAATACGCTTATCATAATTTGTAAATCGGTTAAATAACTTTCAACCATGAAAAGTATTTAGCACATAAATGATATATCTATTAATCTCTCTAAGAATCAAGGTAGAATAGCCTGTAACTATAAAACTCCAAAATTATCTACACCTAAATTGTCCTTATGGATAAATATTCTACCGCTCAATTTCACTTTTTCATAACTTCATTTCAATATTAGTTTAAATTTGTTCGTAATAATAACATCCAAAGGATTCTAAAATTAGCTATTCAATTTTTTCTTTAATTCAAAACTCTAGCTTCACGTTTGATTGTGAGTAAATAATGGCAGAGTAATTACTGGTATGAATTATGTTTAATGGAAAGAACTAATAGATGTTATTCGATAGATTAAAGTATTATTTTAGTAATGTATTCGAAGACACTAAAATAAAGCCGTAGCTAGTAAATTCGACTTGTAAAGTAACAGCTAATACAGTACCCATTCAATGCTGTAAATTGATTTTGTTGACGAGTATAATAAGACATTTCTAACAAATGGTAAGGGGAAATTAGCAGATGGATTCGATACATTATTTATTTGCCGATTAAATTTAGATTAACAATAGTATGATATTAATTTTCTCCTTTTAGCCATAATAAATTGCTGATGTAGCTATTTGTTTATATTTTTATGATGTCATTAAAGTATTTAAATCATTTCTAATACCTGTGGTAACATTTGGCGTTATTATTATCATTAATGGCTTATTAGGAATAAATAAGATTGCTTATCGTTAAAGTTATTATCCCAATTTATCCTTTGTTATTATTAAAGCAAATTTTTTAATGTTAAAAACATCATTCGACGAAAGTTGTCGTTATAGTAACTAAAAATATTAAAGAAAGTTAATCTATAGGGGGAATAGATTTCTTTTAGCTTACGAGCTTACTCTTGCCCATCGCTATGAAGTATTTACTTTTTCTTACCCTCAAAATGAGATTAAACTGATCCCTGAATGATCTTAATTACACGTAGACTGTACTCCTATCAAATTTAATGAGAGAAAAAAGTTCTCAGTATACGCCAACAATATGTGAATAGCAGATGAATTGGAGTGTTACTTTGATCACTGATTGAGCTAATATTTCACTAATAAAATATGTAGGATAAATCCTATCATTGATTAATAGGCTAAAATTTTGATGATCGAATTGAATTAATCGAAAATAAAATGAGATATTGCTCATTAATAAAATATGTTAATATCAGTATTTCTTGTCAATGCTATAAATCTTATAGCCAACAGATCAAATTAATATAACTACAAGTACTTGGATGATTTTATAAGCAAATAAAGTCAATCAAACCTCAATTTGCAGTTAAAGCTTATAGAAGTCATAGCAATCTGGCAATACATTTTCCAATATGCAGTATTCAGTGTAACGATATTCCGCTTTCTTTGAATATTTCGTATGTCTATTAATCACTGAATCTCAGTCTGATTTTTTATCTATAGGGAGAATCAAAAATTCATAAGATTAATGAACGAATTGATATACATACTAAATTGGAATTGATAGGTTCAATAATTAATAAGGTACTAAAGTAGAATGATTTTTTCCTCAAATACATGAACTATGTTATAATAGATGACAATTTAAGATTAGCTCATAAATTTCTGAAAAATCAAGTAATAGAAATAAACTGTTAAGTAAAATTGCTGGAGAAGATTTAACTTGTATTTTACTGGAACAGATTAATAATATGTAAACACAGTTCAGCAATTTTGCAAAATTTTTGGAAATACGAGTATTAATCTAATTAAAGTACAAATATCAAGGCTGTAGGAAAAACTATTCATAGGTATGAATTTCTTATTACATTGCCATTAAAGGATACCAATACCACAGTCAAGTTGTCGTACATTTCTTGAAATTAAAATATCTACACGCGGCTTGAAATTATACATACGTACTGCTAATTGCCTCATGTAAGCTAAATTTAAAAATTAAAAAGATGGCTATCCGAAAATCTTCAGTCGCTAGTTCTTTATTGTACAGAATAAAATTTAATGCGAAACAACACTAATAATGAGTATGAAAGATTAAAAAGGCAATA